AGACTCAGTATCATAGCAGGGGCCTCTTCGTTAGAGATTTCCTCTTTGACAGCAGGCCTTTCCTCTTCAGAACTGACTTCTGCATTTACAACATTGTACTCTTCTTTTACTTCATTTTGTTCCTGCACCTCTGTCACACTCTCAACTGGTTCTGATTGTTGCTCTGAGCAAACCTCCTGCTGTAATTCCTTTCCTTCAGGTTCAGAACTAGCTGGGCCTTCCTTTGAACATTCATTTTGTACACTAGTGCTACCTCCTTCACTAACTTTTTCTTCCTCCTTCAATTCACTTTCCTTCTTTGCAGAAAGTTCTTCATCAGTTGCCTGTTTTTCTGCATCAGCTGATTCTTGGATAGTTGATAGCAATTCCTCTTCCCTGTTTGATGCATCCCCCTGATTCACTTGTTCAGATATTGCTTCCTGCACATCTACACTCTCGCTTAGATTACCTCCCACTGGTATATCCTCCCCTTTCGACTCTAGCTCCGTGGGGGTCTTGTTTTCGCTGCATGACAGGTTGTTCTCATATAATTCATCTTTTGCTGCTGGTTTCTCGTGTGTCTCGCTAGCTGCCCTCTGCCTCTGGAGTTCAGCTCTTTGTTGTTCTTTTTTCACTGCACTCAAAATATACGACGGTGTTTCGTGTATGGGGCTAGGCAGGCCTTGGGGTGACTTCGGTTCGGGAATTGGTGGCAAATTGACAGATTTCTTTCTAGGAGCCACAGGAGGGGGTGGACCTCTGCTTCCCTGGGAGGCTGGAAGGGTAGCAGCTTTCACTGCACTTTCTGATGTCTGGCCTGTCTGTGGCGGGTTGGTTCCTGTGGAAAACCGTCTGCTTGGTGCCGTCTTATCTGAACTCGATACCCCTAAAGTTCCTAGATCAATTGTTTGTTGTTTAACCACACCATGTAAATTGAACGCTCTTTTTGCTTTATACTTTTGATATTCTTCCATAAAGTCCTTTTTCTTTGGCGGTGCAGCTGCAGGTTCAAGACTTCGAGTTAGATTCTTGAAAAATTTCCCTTGTTTTGCACCGAAAGAGTCGCCATCGTCGGACGAAACACTCCCAGATTTCACTCTACCACCGTTGTCAACTGGCTCTAGGCCCGAATCTTCGCTGGACAACGCTCGTTCTGGAAGCGAAACGCGTCTCGACATACTGCAGACTGACTTAAATCAACAATATAAGTAAATCAAACGATAAATTGGATATTCTGCGCACTTACAGCAAACTTTTCCAGCATCGGCCTTCTATCATTGCAGTCGCATAACTCCGCAAGACTGTTATCATGACAGAGTCAAATTGGATCACGTGACTTTGATCAATAACAACATCTGTCAGGGGGGCTGTTTCAATGAAATCAAGTATTTCATTTTCGGCCCATTAAATTTCGCAATTAATTTCCAAAATGACAAAATTCAACCAACACATGCAAATATATCCAGTCTCCTTGCAACAGAATCATAAGCTATAACTAAGTTATTGATTTTGATCTCATCGTAAAAATTCGTAACATTCTTTGGTGTTATTTTCTGCATAAATTTAAAAGTTTCCACATGGCTAGGATGATACGATTCAAGCGTAAACATCTGTTTCTGATTTGTGGTGTAAAGCCCACTAGTATTGGATAAGCAAAGTGCCAATAGAAAGCTCTCCTTAAAATTAATAGATTGACAAATGAATTGAAACCATTAGTCAATCACGGGGGCTCTCAACATTTTATGATAAATTGAACATCAAGTCAAACCTTTTTTGACTTCCTTATGTTGTTCTTCTTTTAATATTGATCTTTCTACAACTCAATGTCATGAGCTGTTTATAAGACCACTAGATAATATGTTTTAGGCTGCGTTCATAATGTATTGCAGAGGGGAACAGGTGAAATGGAGGGGGGTTGGTAAAAAAATACAAGAAAAGGGGGGGATTTCAATTCTTTTCTCGAGAAAGTGGGGGGGATGCCAAATATTTGTTATCAGCTGCATTAAATAACAAGGGCATACTAAAATACTTTTATTGGTCATAACAATACACGTTTTTTATAAGAAAGCTTTTTTCAGCCCAGCCTTCCGACTTTCTTAACTATTTCCTAATTTCAGCACTAAAACTTTCTTAACACTATCTTAATATAAAATTGGAAATTTTAAAGGTTATTGAGCATGGGCAGTGAGGGAGAAGATGAAATGCTATAAATATGCTATATTTCTCCAAAAAGCCCTCAACGTCATAACATCAACCATCGAAGAAAGCCTAACAAACAAGTGCGATTTGTCATGCAAGGAAAACCATTGCAATATTTCACTCTTACACAGCAATTTCCATTGAAATTTTGAATATCTAAATTTTTCAACTTTCTTAGGTTATCCAGCCCTGAACCTCTTAACTTCTTGAAGAACCGAGCATAACTTTCTTACAAAATACATTCTTCTAAAAAAATGTGTGTATTATCATAACAGTATTACAATATTACATTATATTACAGTAGTTGAATCTATGAGATTTGTAAAGTTTAGCAACATTTTAAAAACACTTCTACCTGAAAGCCTATTTTAAAGGAATAAAACTTTTCAGGTATATGAATGTTACACTACTCTAGATTTTGTGGAATAATCATTTTTGCTATGTTCAACATTTAATAAATGTCAAACTTCAAAGTGCAATTAGGCGATGCCGATATGGCACGATTTTGGAAATCCGATTATCGCTTTAGAGTCTATAGATCTAGGAACGACTGTCATGTGAACGAGGCAGAAAGAACAAATTCTGTCATGGGTGATGCTCTAGCAGATGGGGAAACTATAAACTGGAACAAACATAAATTATTAGATGGGTTGACAGAAGCCGAGTTTACAAACTTGACTCTGAATCAGTTTGAGGAACATTAACAAGAAATTATGAAACGAAATGCGTTGGATATGACAGAAGAAGTTGTTTATCGAATTGGCGGTGCTCTGGCACTTGGAGAGTTTATAGATGCTCGGAAATCTCCCTTAAAGATGATCAGATTTTCTTCTATAAAGAGTACATACAGAACAGAAACGCCGACACTCCCAGTGCTGCACATTTTCAAAAAGTATGTGACTTTTATGATATTCATACTACTAGAGGGGGTCAACTGTACGCGCTGTACGTAGAGGATTGCTGTTCCACAAGGAGAGGGCAACAATGCCAAACTCGTACTAAAACAAGGGGTGTGAGAGGCAAAGACCTGTCAAAGTTCTGATTGATAAACTCTTACTCTACAAAGGCAAGATAAACTCTTAAATCATTATCAGTTTTCAAGGAAATGTTCATAATGGAAAATAGCTTGATATAACCATGGTAAGTTCGTTCCTTGATGCTTAACAGGTCTCAGTTGCATGGCCACCGTTGAATGAGTGGAAGATGGTCTCAAGATGGTTTGTCCCTTTCCCGAACCCTGTTAGGGGTAGCCACTGCTCTATAATAACTTAAGTCTCTGGAATATGAAGTCTCTGCATACATTTTGCATATCAAAAGTCAATATAAGAAGTGAATAAGCACTGCCTGATGTCCACCTCTCAAATAAACCAGATACAATACTTTCGAGATCTTATAAGTACGGGTAGGGTCATTTTTCAGGTCAGCCCTCAAGATGGGTTTGAATTGCTAGGGCTACAAAAGAATCTTTAGGAAATCTTCCCGTGAGCCTTACAAGTCTAGACGAATGGTCCGTGACTCGGCAATTTTTAACCACAATAAATCCATTTACCTCTCAACTTTTAACCAAATGGTTTAATTCTATCTGTAGGTCATGTATCAAGAGTTAAATGTGCTGAAAGCAGATAAAGTGATTTGTAGGAGGGTTTATGATAAGCTGAAGGGGACAATCATACATACAAAGAGTTAGATTTTTGGAGCGGAGATTTGAAACTGGCAGGGTCGTGTCTAACTTTGTTCTAAGGAATCAATTGTAAAAGATAAGATAAGTTAATATTAGATAAGTTAATAGATAATTAGATGAACAAACCAATAGACAAATAACTAGGTTTTCTTCTCCTATCATAAGGATCAATGACATTCTTCACTTTTCAACTTGGTTCGTTTTTACTGTCCATTTCTCCATATCCATATTCTGATTACCGTTATCTCGGCATGCACTGAGATAAAATTTTAAAGGGCCCTATCTAAATGATCACTATGTTGCAATATAACAAAGAAAGTTCGAAAGTCAATTACAAAAAATTCAGTGCCCTGAAAAGGGATAGCAGCTGGAAATACGCAAAAAATTGGTTGATGTACAATAAAAGAAAGATCAAGAACAAGAAAGCAGAGAGTTTTTTGGAACCAGTTTCTTTTAGGTCCTAAAAAAATCGGGTGATTTAAGAGATCTTTTAAGGTGTGCAAGTGTTTGAGAACAAGTCGCTTTAAAAGTTGGGACAATGGGTAAGAAATGTTGCAGAGTAGAGTTCATCACTCTTAGTTTTCAGATTTTTTTCATTCATCTTCATGCAATAGTGCACTTTTTAGAGTGGTCTTTGCCGTAGTTCTGTTAGATCCTAGGCCTAGGGTGTGGTTGTCGGATGTCAAAATCATGGCAAACATTTTAAAATAAAACAAGCCTTAATCTGAAACTTCGAATATTGACATGCTTTGTTTTGCCCTAGAGCAAAGCATTCATGTGCTCCTACAACAAGTTAAATTCTAGAAACATTTAAACAAGGGTCAACGCATGCTTAGGTTTAAAAACATTTTTTAGAATATTCGATTACTGCCATTTGCAGTTCTCAGTGGTTGTTACAAGTCAGTTCTGTGCAATTTGAACCTGGAAGTGGAAGAAACAGTCACTGGAATCGGGTCAGTTTGACAAGTACCATCACTGAAATAGTAGGAAAATTAAGGCAAAGCCCTACCTAACAACCCCAACAATAACGCTGCGTATCCTTGCAGAGACACCTCACACTTTCTGAATAGACTAACATAATACTCTGTGATACTATGTGAAATTTATTCTTATTCTGTGTTTGAAGTTTACCCCCTGAGTCCCTGACCTCACGCACAGCCGAAGGATCAACGGTTATCTTGAGTATAGATTTTTTGGACTAAGAAAGGCTAAATCCCAGGCGTATATGTGAAATATGCAGAATATATCCATCGCTTAATGCTGTCTTTTCTTGTAAAGAAGCCGATAATATTCAATGAACTATAGACGGCCCTTTTACACCAGTTGCACTAGACACCCCAAACAAGTCTGTCAAGAGGAGAAAGAGAATGAACAACGCAGAAATGGTGCGGTTGAAAAGGAAAACTGGATTAAAGTATTTTGAAATTTTCATAAATAGATAGCAGAGATTAAGATTGGTTCTCTGAAATTGGTTCATGAGTCAATAAAGATAAATATTATCCTTTCGTTTCTAACATTTTAGGTGTATTAGGACATTGACAGTAGGGAACAGGCGTTTTAAATACCAATAACACGAAAGCACACGAAGGCCTGTACTATACACGAAAGAACAAAGTAGAATGCTGTCCATTGAAAGATGGTGGTTTCTTTGAAGTTTATTTGATCGATCAACTGATAAAGACCTGCTTAATGTCCTATTAGAAAAATAGCTGTTAAATCTTAAGAGGTTTACAAGATTTTAATTGAATTTTAATTGAACTTTCAATGATTATTTGCAAGCATTCTTTGGAAGTAGAATTTGTAACAGGCAAGATAATATAATGGAGCCATTTTTTTATCTTTGTAACAGGTTAGTCAATTGTATGCAAATCAAGTCAATTTTGAGGTTTACAGTTATTTTGTTATTTTGATGATAAATAAAGGGAAGATTGTAGAATCATCATTTTTACATAATTATGAGAATGAAAATTTATAAATTTTTCAGAAAAATTGTAATCATGATCCCAGTGATAGATATCATCAATACCAATTTAAACAACGTCGCAATAATAAAATATACGATCAGGATCAAGCTAATTATAATCATTTTTTATCGCGATTGTTATGATCATCAAAATGATTGCAATCATCATAATCATGATAAAGATCAAAGCAAGACCCATCGTTATCGTCAATAAATCATGATTTCAATAATCAGCAAAATGATTGCTATAATTATAATCACGATAATGATCAAAGCAAGACTCATCGTTATCGTCAATGAATCGTGATTTCAATAATCAGCAAAATGATTCCAATCATCATCGATCAATCATGATCACAATCAAATCAAGGTTTACTGAAACATCTATCATCATTAATATTAAAAACGATCATAAACAACACACGATATTAACAGTAATAATTATGAATACAATACTCTCAAAACCATACTCACGTTAAAATACTCGCCGCAAAAATCATTCCCTGTTTTCTGTTCCATTTTTAAATCATACATGCTATCCCTTTAGGAAGAGCGAATACCTAATATTGAATTAAAGTTCCGAAGTTCGAAGTCATATGAAATACGTTTTGAGAATGTTTGAGTTTTGACCGCGATTAATTAATTTTTTTAACGATTTCTTGTCAATGCAGCTGTTGCATGTCCTATTAGAAATATTGGACCTGCAAATTGCCCAAATCATATTGCCACTCTGTTTAACGGATTAATCCTTTCTATCTTAAACTATTTGTCTATACGTTTTAGTTTCAACTTTTTTAGAGCTGAAGTATTTTTGTGATCGCGTATAACAGAATGCAAGGAATAAAACAATTTTCTGCTCCGTTTTTCGAAAGACCAAGCATAGAACACCCACAGCTACCAATTACGGCTCTGCTTTGATGTTGTTTATATTCGATTTGAAATCTAAGCAGTTCCCGTTTAGGATATACTGTGCCACACCTTGAAAAATAATAAATCCTCCAATTTCATCTCCGTTAAGCCTATTGAAATATATTAAGTAAGTCTTTGTACACTGTTCGCATTATTGCAACACGGCCTGTTTTGATTATGGGCTTTTCAACGGTAATAGGATAAGTAAGCATTCAATACAACAGAGCGAAAGCCCATGCTAAGTCACCATAATAACCAAGTTATGGTGTATATTTTGAAAAAGAGGCTGCAATGTCTACGCATGTGCAAGGAAAATGAGCGCGGCTAAATACCCACATTTTGTACCAATCTTTGCTTCGTGGTCAATCAAATGTCACTCCTAAGCAGCACCTGCTGCTACTTCACAAACACGCTACTTTCCAAATTTGGATGTTCCTTTCTCTAAAGAAAAATTGTGCTCCAATTCTAAAATTTACTTGATTCGGTGTCGACAATAAATCTACGCTGGAAATCATTTACTTTCACTCCTTCGTTCATCATTTTTAAATGGTGGTCAATGGAGAAGAAACTAAGTGGTAACCTACACATTTAAAACTTGAGAGTCAAGATTGAAAATGTTTTGAGAAGAGACCGGGAATGTAAAGGAAAGCTCATATATAACGCAAATGAATATTTTTTCGTGCTTATTAATGAACCAACATTCCTTCTTGCATATTCTTATCACCCTGTCCCAAAGACGTAGAAAGGACAGACGTATGATCTTCTCAACCGGTCCAGAGTCTTGGCAAGGACCGACATTTAAAACTTATAAGCCAAGATTGAGAAATTAGGGTACACATTGAACCGTCACGATTCTACTTTAAGCTTCTTACTTAGCACAAATAGAAAGGTTTACTATAAATCAGAAAATATGACGGACAGCTTAAAACTTCACCCCCTCGTTAAATAATATTTAGGAAAGCCGAAGATAGGCAGTTGATTCATTAAAATTTATGGTAATCGCATGTTAGTAATGGAGAAATTTTCAGAAAAAGCATCGAAAATTTTTGCCAAACCCAAAATCTACTAGCAACCACTCGTCGACAGACAATTTACACAGCTTAAACAATTACAAAACTAGCTTTGTTGCTAAAGAAGTCCCTAACCTTACAAATGTGGATCTAAACATGAATTCTACAGAAGTCAATCCTTACATAACACTGTCATTATGTGACCAGAATCCTTGCCTCAGTTAACTTTTCAACAAAACTTGAACTTGGCGCTCAACGAGATATGATCCGATGAAAAATATTTTGAAGGCCCACCAGGTAAATACTCTTCGCTTGCAGGTGTATCCAGCACAGCACATGGCTTTATTCCTTTGGAATAGAATATGAAATCTAATGCCCCAATGTGCTTTCCATCACTTGACGTAAAAGTAGGCTCATGACCCTAAAAAGAACATCAGTTTAGGGTAATTCTTTGCAAATTGCATCATCTAGATACAAATTGTTTATTCTATCAAAAATGACATCGTACTAAAGCATTCGACAAAAAGGGGTTATGGTGCAAGGAGCTGAGGGTGCCAATGCCTCATAGTTTCTTTAAGATATATTATTTTGCTTATGCATTCACTGTGAACCTTTGCTAGGGGGTTCAGGGGATTAAGTCTACCCTTTGAAAGTCAAGAAATAACCATTTTTCTTGTAGATGTTTTCTAAGAATTTTAATGAGAGAGTCCTTTCCATAATCATGCACCCAAGCTTATTGATAATTACTGCATAACTAATCTTTCATGCAGGAATATGAAGTGATGTAGATCAACAAGGAAAAGAAGAAATTTTCAAAAGAACAGATTTGTCTTCAAATGGGGGAAATGTACAGAGATTGAAGGATGCAGATACTTTCAAATGTTCAGCAGCTGTAGACAGATAAAAATACTGAACAGGTAGAGATAACAGATATATCAATTGCTGGATATATTTTAAAACACTGTGTAGACGGGTTTTAAAGCGAATAGAAGCAAAATTGGGAAGGAAAAGGGCGTAAATTTGTGGTACAATGAAGATGTAAGATAATGAAAAGCGAGAGTTTCAGAAATTAGAAATGAAAGTGGGAAGAAAGGTGATCAGTTAGAAATCTGCATATCCAAGAAGATTGGTGGCATTGCTAAAAATTTTTGTGTGGTTAAGGACACCTGATCCGCCTCGGATCAAAACGATGCTTGTTTAAAGAAGCTTGCTTTAAAGAACCCATCATAAACAACGAGCTTCGAGAAGAGGCTGGCAATATAACGGAAAGCTCATGCATTACGCAAAATATAAACATGACGAAGTTGACAATAAGAAACATTCGTCCAAAACGCTGATATTGATATTTCAAAGACGAAGGAAGTGCAATTGATAAAATCTGACGAAAATCTGACCAAAAACATCATCAAGGATTACATTACAGCAAATGTGTGGAGACAAATACAAGAATATCAAACACTTTGACTATCAAAGGAAAAGCCAGCACAGTAAGGATAAATAAAGCAGCGCTGAAACACAGTCCCTTTAATTCTATGCTGGCGCCGTAGAAGGAGTTCAGATTTGAAATCTGTTATCAATACTTCAAATGTCATAAATAAATGTTTTTTTCGATTCTAAATGAAAGAAAAATAGGCAAGAATGCTAAATGATTAATGTTGCATGTCTTTTCAATAGGCAAACTCATTCAATCATCGAGGAAAACACAGCGCCACGGTAAACAATATATACCGAATTTACTCGCTTTATCGCTGAGCCTTGAATTAAGGAAATACCAGAGCTAGCGGCGGTTAAAGCCCCGTTAAAACGCTCTCAACATTTCACTTACCCTGGGTACCAAACTCACTATATATATAAAGTGAGTCTGGTACCCAGGGTACATTTCACTGAACATCGCTCAGCATTTGTAGAGTGCAAATGTTGAGAGCGTTTTAACACCCTGTTCAGTGATGTTGACTTTGAGTGGAGTTTGAACAGATTTGAAAATGTTCAGCGGGTTGACTAAACATTTCTATACACCTTTTCAACTAACCGCGTCGAAGAGAACTGGGCCGAGATTTGGGGTGAAAGACCACGCCTGTTGTGTTGTGATTCCTTGGGTTTGTGTTTTGCAAACGAGCAAAGTTGTGCTTCGTTTGCCTGAATTTATTTGAATCTTTAGCAGTGAATGGTTGCAGCTTCCCTAATCTGGCAAAGTTATCGCATTTTAGGCTCCATTCGGGCAGCTCTATTACGATGAAGCAACAATATTTTGGTAATATCCATACTAAGACCCCCCTAACCCCCCTAACCCCCCTAAACTGTCGTTTATGCGAGCCAGTTCGGGCCTGGGTAAAATGAATATGGATAGAAATACGTATTACCCTATAAAGGCATCAAACTTCAAGAAAAGGGGGTCTGGGCTTTTTACCAAGCCACCCGCTCTCAACGCCCTACTTATTTGAATGAATCGACAGAAATGACAAATCTCACCAATATTTCTTTGTAAGAACTTTTCAGCCCTAACTCATGTTTGAAGCTGTCTTTGAAAATTGATGCCGCAGAATTGCTACGAAATTCCCTCTCCTGCAATGCAATGAGAAATCCGTTATAAAAAGACTGTCACTTGGAATTCGACAAAATTATGATTTAGATTTTAAAGCTGGGTGCTAAAGAGTCAAGAAGACAAGTTTCTAGATTGCCTAAATTGCGGCATTCCTATTAATAACAAAGTTTTTAGCAGCCTAAACATTTCAACATTGAGTTGACACTAAACAGTGAAATATAGAATCTATAAAAGCGTTAAAAATTTAAGATAGAAATAACTTTTGAAATAGCTGTTACGAATTCAATTACAAAGGATTATTGAAAGCTGGGATAAACTTTCCTAGCGTTACGAGCGCAGAAAATCTCTTTTCAAAACATATGTTACCTTTTCTTCTGATTTGCATGTTTTCTCGCTAATATGGTAATACACCCTGGCAAGACGATCCGTTTCATCCCGATTTAACTGTCCATTAACAACGATTCTATATCCAAAATGTGTAGGCTCGGTGTTGAAGTCGCCACAGTAAATGAACGGCGAATCGTGTTTTAAAGAAGTATCTTGCAGTGCCATTTCAACTCTGAGTTTGCCAAGCTTCTTTGCTAACAAACAAGTCTGCAACGTGGGGATATCTGGCTGTTCATAATCGTAAGTTGCGTGAAAATTGCCTGTATGTGGAATGAATGATAAGATATTTAAACGCACAGTCAATCCCTTTCTTATTAATAAGTATTTTCTTTTTAATGCTCCTTCTTACATATAACACTTTTCAGCTTGGCTACATAACATTACACGCTCTTCCGACGATCTTCTTTTAAAAAACCAGGGGGCTTAAATTGGTACATATAGGAGTTTAACTTTACATGAGGGGAGAAAGGCATACAATATCAAGATATGTTAAACGTTTTTTAACATTTCTTGGTAATTTCATGAAACACACGGGTTTTTTAACATAACACTAACACCGTTCCGATTAACAAGAGAATACCTTAGTTGCCTAATGTGTTTATCAACACCCATTTTTTACGCCACCCGCTACATAACGCTGTTCTATGGAGAGCAATAATCCAGAAGTTGGAGAGCCTTTTAGGTTGATCAATTATGTATTGCGAATTCACTACGGAAAAAAAGAGGCTGGAAAATAACACGCTCTTCCCACGAACTAAAATTTGATTCCACAAAAGAGGCTGATCCCTAAAACACAGCCTCTTGTTGAACTCAGTTGAAATCTTCACTGAAAACAGTACAGAACAGGGCCTCCGAAGAAGCCATGTCCCACCCCTTCCACCTTTTTGCAAAAAACAGAGCTTTTTCGAAATCTTTTCTCATCGGTATCTAATTTCTCCTTGCCCCCCTACTTTTTAACCTGTGTCGAAGCCCATGCAGAAAAAAAATCAAAAAAGGAGTTAAAATATGAAGACATACAGACAAATAATTTGTTTCCAGTCTCCAGATGGCGAAGAATTGTAACAATTCCAACATTGTCCTTCTCTAAATGACTTAGGCTGTTCTTGCTACGATCAATACCAAGACTCTCTGCCTCTTCGTACATGAGGTCATTCAAAGAATATGTTTTTGACGCTTCTACAGAAAAAGATTCTTTGCGAACAGCAGTAACAAGGCCTTCTAGTGTTTCTTTTTTTTTCATTGCAAAAATAGTATCGTAACCAAGGTTTGCTAGCTCATCTTTGAAAACCTCCTCATAGTACCATTTATCAACCTCTTGGAAGCAGATGACGTCAGCAGCAAGAAAACGTATCTGAAAATGAAGACAAGGATAGTTTGAAGTGTTTGATATCGCTGGATTGAAAAAGGGGTTGCACAATTGAAGAGGCACGGTTAGCTGGAAAACTGGAGACTCCCATTCTAAATCGTGCCTACTTAATTGAAAGAAATTATTTCTGTTTTTCAGTTAGGTTAACAATGAACCAAATTTGATTCAAGCATCGCCGAGGTCGGTCTAGGCCAGGGGCGTTCAACTTATTTTGTTGGGTAGGCCATAGACAAAATCTCACTGCACTGATGGGCCAGATGAATAAGTATACAAATCGTCGGCACATTTTTATATTAAGCAGTAGTTTTAAATTTAAGTTCAGGCTGACTGTAATTTTTTCGAAAATCTGAGGCTGGATTGTTCTAAATTTGTTCTTAATCTAATAGGGTATAAGCAGTGCGTGTGCTAGCTTTTTCGCTCTAGGGTGGTGTACAGGCCTCATTTTCCAACAAAGTGAGTGAGACAGCCTTAATCTGCTGACAAATTTGAATATTCGCCAAAAAAGCACCCACACATCGCTAGAAGTCCTCGATTTTGAGAAAAAACGTTGTTCAAAATTGCATTTTGCAGAAGCTCAGCCTCAGCTTGTTCTTAATTTGTTCTTAATTTTTGACCAATTTTGAGGCTCGTGTTCTTATAAAATTGTCCTTATAAAAAAAGAATGTAAATGGATTGATAATTATAGTTACATGAAAAATTACACGAAAAGTTACAAAAACAGTTACATGAAAAAGTTTTATGAATGTAAAATATTTGATTTCTTGTTTGCAGAAGGTTTATTCACATCAAACATTGTATTTGTAGTTGACGTGCGAAGAAAGTCATGTAAATGTTTCTTTGTATGCTTAGATTGTAGCTTTGACCTGTTCTGTTAGCTTTGTAATAAAAAGGCCGGTTATAATAATGAGAAGGTATGCCTTATAATGAGCAACTATTCCTAAAAAAGAATCATAAAATTTTTTAGCCGGGATGGCACTCTATAGACACAGCTCAAGCAAGTATTCATCCCTATCAATAAATTTTTCCCAAATGATAAAAGAGTTCTAATTCTATAAATCAATCGAACTTACATAGATTTGAACTTATGACAGAAATCCAACTGTCGTTTGCCTTCATTTAAATATATCCCACAATGCAATTTTGTGCTACGAATCGCCTAATTGATTCAAATTGCTCTCGATCAGCACCTGGATTAAGATATCTGCTTTTCTTTTCGCCATTACCTAACTTTGTATACCTTTGATATTGCTAGAAGAGTGGAGGACTATCAGACATGATTCCACGTGTTTTTCATTTGAGCATTGCTAGTATAGCTGACATAACGCTTACACCTCCCAATTTGGGACACTATGTTATGGTTATAGCTAAACCTAATCCAAATGGGCCTTTTTTCAAGTTACCATTTGTAGATGGAGGGGGGGGGGGGGTGTTACTGAATATTTTCCTATCAAAGGTGAAATAATATGACACAATTAATATATGTAAACATAAAGTCAAAGAGTTTTAAGATATAAAAGTCAAACAGAAACAATGACAGACAACAACCTTCCGGAGGTCAGAAAGCATCTCCTTTCTAAATTAAAGGCAGAAGCAAACAAGCCAGAGGGTATCTTGGGTACCAGAGCCCAAGAAAATGGGAAGGGTCTGTTTTCCTTTCTAATTTCTTGGGTCCTGGTAGTGCCTAGACAGAAAGCTACCTTACTTATGACTGATGTAACTGGCCCTACAAGGGACAACAAAGGATCTTTTGCTCGACATATCTGTACACCTTACCTCCTCCATTAACAGCAAATGTCGCTTCGAGCTCTTTCCAAGCTTCCTTTTATACAGATCCTCGGTTTTACAGTATTTGTACAGAACAGGCCAATTTTCAGGCGTTTGTTCGTCAGATCGAGCAGGAATATGAAAATCGGCAAGGATGTTGTAGGTTGCAAGCGTGAAATTTTCTTTTTCGGCACATTTCCAAACTTCTTTCCTGTTTGTTATACGTGTTGTGTTCATTTTTGCACATGGGCTCTAAAACTTGTTTATCCTAAAATTTAGAAAGGAGCCTTAATCATATGCGGAAATAATAAATCTATATCACACTCTTACCTTTTAGTAGATTAACCCTTCAAAGATCATTGAAAAGATTCCCAAGTAGAGGGCCTAAATCTCAACTTCCGAACCATATTTTGCAGACAGTTTAAATCATGTTTTGTAGATCCCTCAAGCATAGAAGTGTATGGATGACTCAGTTGTTATCGTTACTAGCTCAGGGTAGCTGAGCCCTCTTGTTAATGACAAAAAATAGCCCTTTTCAACATTTGCTATTGTTTTCTAACCAACATTTTGTGCAAGAGCCCCACTCTCTTGTTGTTTCAATAGCACTACACCACTGGTTACTGGATACATTTGCAATCTAGGGATGCTTTTTCTGTGAATTTTCAAACCTGTCGGCAAATGAAGATTTGTAAAACAACACTGTTTTACAGTTTCCCTGGTTAGTCAAGTACAAATGAAACAACAGTTTATTCCACAACAGGAACCTGAATATATGAATAATCGGCGATATAAACTACAAGCAATGATTCGGCAATTAATGCTACAAGCAATATTCGGCGGCGGCAAGAATGTTCGGCGGGTACACTTCACTGAATTTAACGGCTAAGGGCAACTTCATAAAACGGAACGGCTTCGACACGACTTTACTTCTCGGCTTTACACTACGACTGACTCAACATAAAACAGCATGGCAATATAATGAAAAACACATGACCAAGAGACAATAGGATGCTGACAACAAATGATGGCAACTAATGAGAAATGGCATGGCAACGGATCACTGACACGCAATAGGACAATCTATTGTTTAACATATTATCTCACTCACTTTGTTTTTTTCACCTTCTTTTAAGTTGATAACATCCAATACTAGCTATATCAAAGCTAATTAAAACCAATTATATATGTTAACAAATACCGAATTTAATAATGATACAATAATAAATGAACTAATAATAAAATGAATGAATGTACAGAAGGTTGAAAGGTATACAGGAACAAAGCAATACGACGACGAGAATCCAATGTCACGAAATAAATTTTCAAAATAAATTAAATTTAAGAGTATACTAATATTTCGCCCCGGCATACAGGGCTTCATCAGAGTACAGTAGGTTCCCTGTCATCTTATAAAGCCCACTTGTCCTATAAATGGTTTTCAAATGTGTTATGGGCAAAGCAATTAATCTGTTGACACCCTAATAATTTAAGAACAAATTGAGAACAATCCATCCTAAGATTTTCTAAAAAACTGAGAACAGGTAGCCTGAACTTCAAATTATTGGTTCTTTAAAAAAGAAAGGCAACTTTTCAAAGTCTAGCAATTACATACGGCTACAAACAAATCAGCTACAAGTTATGAATTAAAGGTTTAATAAAAATGATTGCCGTTATATGTAAAGCCACTTTTCACATTATATTGTAATGTACGTATAAAATTTCAATGTTAGTTTTAAAACAGTGAACGTACACTAATAAAGAATAATATAAAGCAATTTCAAGGATTGCATAAGACAGATTTCTGACTGCAAAAAGAGCATATCCACTTGGTTTTAAGTACAAGTTTTAATTTTAATTTCATTTTGGGTAATTACAATTATTACTTATTTCGTGTTAGACACCTGCTATAAATAAATGAATTTTTAAAAGTTGACCCATCAACCGGAATCTCCGTGCTCAGAATTTATGACAAGACAAGGTGTAATAATGAACCATGTTGCAAAACCATTTGATTCAAAATATCTTAAGATTAAATTGTGCAAAGTCACAAATTTATTGCGTTCCATTGCTAATATTTGACTTGATTTCAATAAAAGTTTGAAGGAACAGTTTCCTTTCAAAAGCACACATTGAAAGCCTGAAAACCTCAAATGTTGACAAAACAATTGAAAAAAATTTTTGAAGCTTGCTAACATTTTTTCTAATGTTTTGATTGTCTTTGGGTCAGCATTTGTTTTGGTGCTGCGAGCGGGCTGCGCTGCCAGCCCCGAGTCTACATTGCCATGACGACCGCTTACTCCAACATGGCTGGTTAATGATGGAAGCCACCTTTAGCCTCTTGAAGCCAACGGATCAACAAATGAAGAATGTTCACGTTGTTGCCACCGATCGGTGAATTAGACATTCGAGGGACGAAAAGAAATGAAAATATCTACATGAATGATATTCAGAATGACAAAATGTGCGATGCCGATGTACTTTTCATCGTGAAGTCAGGCGAAGTTAGGCCGATATGCTCTAATGAACAGGAAATGCCAGATTTAAGGCCTAACACGCCAAATAACCGATTAAATTCGAAAAGAGGATTCGTGGACGAAAATGAAACTTCAGAAGAATATCAAAATGAAAATTTGCATCAAAATTTCATTCAGAACCAGCCTTCTCTTGCGAACAGCCACAACTTTATCAACGCAGATGCCACCCCTGATCACAAAATGTTTGAGAATGGCCCTACTAAAGCAAAAAATGATCCACGCAAAAGGGATCCAGATTGCGATCGGGCAGCTGAAAGACCAACGGATTACGAGTCTGGTCAGCCGCAAAAGCTTAGTTTTGAAAACGAGTTGACATTCATACCAAAGTTGAACGCTCTAAGCCTGAAGATAGCTCAGTCGAGAACTTCGATTGCAAATAGGATCAAAGTAAGTTGCGAAAGCCGTGCTGCTGCCCTCGACAAAGAAATGGCACAAAATTTCACATTTCGACCAAGCATTAGTGAGAATAGCTTAAAAATAGCCGACAGACTTAAGACGGATTTTTGGACTCGGCAAAAACTCCACACTGAGAGGCAGAAGAAAATGGTAAGGTATCCGACTTGTTGTCTCACCTGGATCCATGCACTATATTTAATTTTCTACTTTAGTAAAGCTCCTTGATAAATATCTACTATTAAAAGCCTACATATCTGCAGTTCGAAGCAAATTTTCATGCTGGTGCAGAATTATGAAGGATAGATAGATGTGAACTGCACATGAAACTGAATTTGTTTAACAGGTACTTTAATCAATACAAACTCTATATTAATGAAATATAAGCACCACATTTAGCTTGGATAACCTCACTTTTGGTATTTATAAAGTCTATCACTGAGAAAGAAAACCAAAAGTGAAAATTACAGACGTTTCTGCAATTAATTATTTATATTTGGTATAAGGAATTTTTATCAAAAACCACTTGAAATCCATTGGAAATGTCTGAAAGCTAAATCAGAGTTTTAGTGAAAAAACATAACTTGCAGAAGCACTAATTATTTTGTTAATCCTGGTTTCAAGTTTGAAAACAAACTACACATTTTAAGCCTTGTTGCTTAATTAAACAATTAATGGTAAATTTTTGCATGATACAAGCCTTTAGTAATCTGTTTTGTTATTGAAATTTTTTTCAATAGTCTTGTTTCCCAGGGTCACAATATATGCAGTATGATTTGTTTCTTTTTTAGTTGGAGGCCACCCCCACACCATGGTATCCTAAGACCAAGGTTGGTACCTTGCCAAAACAGACACCAGTGAGTCAAATTTTTAAAACTGCAGAAATGGTTATTTTCTCATTAAATTATTTCTGATTTCACAAATACAACCACAATATTCATCAACACACCCAGTATATTGACATTTTGACTGACACACTCTCTGCTTCAAACAAGGCTTCAGAAGCAGGGGGACTAGGGAGACACAAGCCCCCTCATATTTTACAACACTCTACTTTTAACAATATTAAAATAATCTTGCTTCTTGCCTTTTGCATGTTTACCCCCCCCCCTCCCCCACCCCCAAAATATTTTTAGCTCTCCCAATGTACAATATGCTCTGCAGCCCCTGGTTCCAAAATATGTCAAATGAAAAAAATCACAATGCTTAGTAGTGGATTTAAGGAGGCCACAGCCCATGGCCCTGCATTTTTCGTAGCCAGAAAGGGCCCTGCACCCAAGAAAAAATGAAAATTGAAAAGAACAAGGGCCCCAAAGATGTTTTCAGTCAGAAACCCACAGCTCCTAAAACAACTTCTTTTATGCACTATCATTTATTGAAGTCACACAAATTGCTATTCTTCGTGGTTTGTTTTTTGCAAAATTGCAACATCTTTCTTATAGAAAGCTGGTAACCTTTTTAATTTTTTCAAGAGTTTAACAGAGAATGCAACAAAACCGAATGCTATCTCTGAAAATGCAGATCAGAAAAAAGACACAAACACATGTTGGACATCTGAGGGAAAGAAACAAAAGTCAGAAAAAATTTGTCCTTACACCAAATCAGTGGATGCCCTCCTTCTAAAAGAGAAGAAGACTCGTTTTCAGGATTCTCCACCACAAAAACTTGAAAGTTTGAAGCCAAGAGCACTGAAAAAGCTCGAGAAAGAAAGAAGGACGCAGTATGTTTTTGTTTTCAATCATTTCATCCAATAATAAACATTAAAAATAAGAATTAATGTACAAATGAATTAATGCTAATTGATATCTTTTATTCTCAAAACTGTCTTAAGAAACACATAAATAAGACTTGATACTAATTTCAGTCTAGTTGCTTAGAAATTATATCTACAAATGTTTCAGCTGTGTTTTTTTAAACATGTCACACATTTCAAAAACTCACTTTTTCCTTGCATGACTTCCAATAACTGGTTACTTAGAAATATATATCATTGCTTTCAGATCTGAAAAAATACAACGTGTTGTATCTGATGATACAAATATGTCAGAAAGCAAATCTGAACCATCTTCGCCAATGAAATCTCATCACAGGATCCTTTCAAAATCGGTTGAAAATGAAATGCAGGAACAGGCTGAGCAAGGTGAGAAGAAGACCAAGACATCAAGGGGCGTTCATAAGCGGTGCAAAACAATGCCCCCAAACCAAGTACATAAAATACACAGGCCAATAACAATTGACCCAGACAGATTTTTGAAAACAAAGTTTGCTGCAGAGCAGGCTCTTAGGGTGAGTAGTAGATTATTTTTGCAAGTAGAAAAATTACTCAAAGGAAGAAACTTTCACAGGAAAAAAACTTTTGCATTTTGTCCTAATTTGTGCTTTTCTCAATTTGCAAAACTTTCTTCTCTTAACGTAGTCAAGTGTACAGGTAGCTCAAACAAAAATCCAAATATTATACCACAATTAAGATATTGCCATTAAATTAAAAGAATAATTAAAATATCTGCTTTTGGTGTGCATTTGGCACAACTGAGTGGGTACTACAATTAATGACATCAGCGGGGGCTAGGGTTTTTTTTGTAAATTTCATAAATTTGACTGCTTTCCATTGCACAGCTGAGAAAGAAAGTATTAGATCAACTTTCCCTCCCAAAGTAGCATGACAGTTAAATAAACGAATTCTTAAGCTAAATCATTGGATACTTTTGCAAAATTTCAGAGTGCATGGTCAAAAAATGTTTCCTTAATTCACCCTATGCATATTGTACTACTGCTTTTTAACAAATCTGGCCTAGCAAGAGTTTTGAGCAAGTAGCAAGAGTCGAGTTTTTCACCATTGAAACTATATGTATTTGCTTCAAAAGCACCCCACGGGCTGTAAACCTGCGAAAATGTGTTTTTTATATCCGTACGTAATCAACTCTCCATCGATCATGTAGAAAATCCTTGGTCGTTTTTAATTTATCTCACGACAGTCATTAAAAATACAACCGGAGGATTTGATGAAGAAACAAAAGTAAACGTGTCTAGCTGAGATAAGTTCTCTCTGGCGCGCGAATTTTCTTTCATGGCGACGGGATATTTTGATATTAATGTGTGTTTTCAGTGCTAAGAACATGCAGTTTTCACGACACCTAACAACGATGACGTAAGAATATTAATAGGCCGCAACTAGCAAATCTTCAGAGTGGGTGTTGAAAACAAAACTAGCTTCTTATACCAAAGTCAACGAATAAATAAGCCCAAGGTTCGACTTGCATATTATCTAAAGCTAGAAAAGAGTCATTAAATGATTATCAACAAATATAGGTCAAACAATAAAATAATCAACAACTTTCAAAAAAGAAAAGTTCAAGAAAAAAAACTGTTTCACCCAGGCACGGTAGACCCAGAAGGCAGAACAATTTTAGAATCGTCTTGATTTTAATGGGGAAAGAAAAAATAATTTAGAATTTCTAACATCAATTTATTGTCATTTGAATATCAGAAACATGTTCAAGTATGCAGTCATTTCCTTGTGTTTCTTTCCCCGCTCATGTTTCTACCCCCCCCCCCCCCCGTTTATGCGACAACGATAACCACTGGATACTCCAACATTTGAACACTTGTTCCAGTTCTGGATCGTTTGAAAACGCAGACCATTTAAAAACATATCGTTTTCGTGTAAATGTAACAAGAGTTATTCTCCAATCACGGCTGCAACTCCCTTCAAAAAAAGGGGGCGAGAATCACACCAAGCATTCTATACTGCAAAGCGTAAACTGAAAGACCGGGATCTTCTGCTGGCGCACAATGTTGTCCTCAGCGCAGCACAGTTTATTTTATACATGTTCAGAAAATGGTTGTAGAGTTATCCATGGTAATCTGACCATATGTTGCAAATATGTTGCAAGCTGTTCTTTGTTTTGAAAATATACGACCTTTCCTTCGATAAAGATCTTATAGTTTTTCTACAATAAAATACTGGGACAAGGTGAAAAATGCTATCCATCTGCTTGAGAGTTTAAGTAACTTTTGTGTACATATTTTTATAGTTGCGTAGCTAGCTGCGACCTGCGACAGGTTGAACATTTTCAAACAAAAGTGAAGTGACTCTTCTTTCATTTTTGCCTTCCTTGTAACCTGGTCTGGGCTGATAAGAGCCTTTATTGTGAATACATATTTACTTTATGTTTGCTAAAAAGCAAAAAGAAAAACATTGTATCAATTTTGCAAAGGGAAATCATACACGCGATTGAAGCTTTTCGAACAAAGAGAACAAAATTGAAAACTTGGCGCGGCGTTTGCTACAAGGGAAGAAATGATAAAGGGTCGGTAGCTTGCCTGTGTGAAAATGTGAAAAACAGAAACGGAAACTCATCTCGTGGTTGTAATGTTATTTGATTCAGGATACTGGGCGAAACTTTCTGTCATTTCTTCACGCCAGAGTTATAATTCTATTTTAGAACAAAAAGGTGTTTATGTGCATGGGACCGTACCCAGTTTTACGAGCTTGTCTTCGAAGAAGAGGCTGGATAGAAAAGTACTTCAAAGCTGATATTGTGTGCTCCACCGCAGCACAAAAACGTTCACCTGACACGTTAAGCCGGGATTCAGACGATGACGATGATGACGTAATCGATCCAGATTCCCCTGTGGAAAATGCAGGTTTACGGAAAGGAGGATCACCTAAGTCACAAGATACTGCACAAACTGGGAAAAACGAGTCTTCTACAGAGACACAGAGATGGGGTTTCGGACGAGGTGACGGGACGTATCATCAGAGCAAGTCGAACCCCGAGAAGAACCAAGTTGAAACCAAGAGTACTTATGCATACGGGACAACGACGATTGGGAATTTCGATGATCTTGATCAAGGGTTTGAAAGCGACAGCCAGTATGGTATAATGGTGAGTTTCTTTGGTACATCTTTTTGATAAGCTCTTGGGCGTTGGCCGTAGGCAAGAGTTGGATATTCAAGGGGGGCAGTAGATTGGGGTAAGAACGTCAGGGAAGGAGGAGTGATCTTTCTTTCAGCGAAAACACTACGGATATCATCAAATGCTAAAAGACAGCCCTAGCGATTATTGGGTTCAAGAAATACTTCATCTTTTCCTCTCAGCTGGTTATGGGTCTGTAGCTAAATAGAGCTTAAGTTGGTTACTCGTAGCTATGAACTCAGCAACCGCTTTTCAGGTTCATTTTTTATCCGAATGTTTGCCATCAAGAAAATTCAGCCTAATTACCAGCGAACATAATTGATAATGTTAGAAAGTTTGCGATATGCCTTACATGCCTAATTAACACAATGTCTTGTTAGCAAGCAATGCTAGGTTTTAAGGTGAAGATTAGCTGATATTTCCTTAAGAAAAGGTAAAACTGTTATATATGATAGAAAACTGAGCCTTTAAAAAAATGGCGGTCGTTCGGCGAAAAGCCGTAGGGAAATCTGATGAAAGCAAAAGAAACGAGGTTCCCAAACTCCGCCTCTTTTTCTATATTTTATGAGGAGGACTTACACATTTGATGACCGTCCATTGGTTCACATCACCTGTCTATTATACTCCAGTAATCTTTAACCAAAGTATCTTTTAAGTAACTTTCAGCTCATATCGTCTCTTGTACATATATCACATTTTTCGTTCTTTTTTCAGTCTCGTATAGCGCGAAATTCAGTACCAGCCTTAATATGGACGTGCAGAAGATCAGACATTGAATTCAACTATTTGACTAAGGTACGTTAGACTGATTCCATTACTCTTCCCTTTCTACCATACTTTGATTTCGAATGAAAAAGGAAGTGAGCAGCGACCCGACATATCCGCTAGGGACAACAATTTTCCCGACATTTCGCTCTGTCAATTAAAGATCTATACATTAAACTGACCCTGTTTCATTATACTTCACTTTACCGATGTTGATTCTCTTCACATTCTTAGACTGCAATTCATCTTAACATGGTATTTATATTTCCAGGATCAAATTGTCAATCATTTTGTTCACGCAAGTTCGTTTACTACAAAGGTAGGTCCACTTCTTTTTACTCCAAAAATAAGTTGAGTGGAGATCCAAACGTTAAAAAAGAAAATGAAACTTGTTATAAAATATGAAGGTTGAATTGAACTTTCAATTAGCCGAATGTATAGGGTTCATTTTCAACCATACATCCTTCTTCTTTCAAGTTAAAATAATTTTCTGTTGGGGTACTAACCAAGGCCTTCTTTTGCGCTGTGGATCTATGCTTACTGAGCAACCCCTTCCTAATCTTGTAACTAATGTGGTTGTTGTTGAACTGTTGTTCCTTTGACACATAGTGGTGATATACGAGAGACTATTCGAAATAACAGGCCCTACCCAGACTCTTGGCAATCTTTCATATAGCAAATATAAACACTGCAATGCGACGAGAACAAACAACAACAAATACACGTAAATCAGTAAAGGCTAATATTTCGCCGTATTTATTGTTGTTCATTCTCGTCGCATTGCGGTGTTTCTTATTTGCTACATTTTCATCGATTTTTCGCCGCAAGAACTCCTTGGAGTCCGTCGAGTAGACAGCTATTGTGACCTTTTCGTTATTCAGACAATCTTTAATACACCTTCTCTCATTTTTGAGTTCGTGTAAGAGATTATTACATCTTTTTTAAATAAAGTACGAATAATTGCTTGCATTCAGTTACATCCTAGTACAAAATTTTGTTCGCGTTTTGATGATTATCTAGAAAGTTGATATCAAATTTTGAATAATTTGTTGCAGTTTGGTCTTTGCATCAACATACGCAATCTTCCTTGGTTTGAGAACGTCGACCATGAATCGTTCTTTCCTCGGTGTCACCGAATTTCAAGTGACAATGAAAAGCAGGATTTCATTGGTAAGAAAACAAAATTTGGTCCCTTCTTATCGAGAATAATCCTTGTTATACCAGAATTTGTTTTAAGAATAGTGTCAATATCGCTTAAGAAATTTTATCGCTTACGAATAATTTCAGAATAATCTTAGGCACAAAATCAAAAAAAATTAAGAACATTGAGGCTCAGCAAAAAATTAGTTATTCTCATATAAAGAGTTTGTATTGCTCGCTGAATGCCCAAGCAGGATTGAAAAACATTTATTTTAACTACTTAATCACAAAATTATTTGCCTTTCAGATGATTTTCGAATGCTAAGTGCAATTGCGATAATAAATCATACAGTAAGACGACTCAAGGACAAAGGCGTATCATACACTCCGAACGGTAATGACAAAATATTGACAACAAGAGCTTTGATGCTAGCAATGAAGGCGTGTCAGGAGTACCTCAAATCTAAAGAGCACCTTGATATAGAGGAAGATGGGCAGACAAATAGCGAACAGGTACTATATACGGCAGTACTTTGCTGATACTTTGAAAATACAGGCTACCTACCTACATTTAAACCTCCTCCATACACTAGACTTGTCTCATTGTTGTCACGGTAAGCACAAACGAATCCCTCCTAAACACTAGTTTCAATGTAGCTTACGGTGCTTCAGGATCTTTTATGATTTGTTGCATTCCTTATAGTTCATAACGATCATTAGAAACCAAAGAGAAACCTGATGAATTATTATGTTGAATTATTACTGATCACTGAGTCTTAGTGAGCTGCGAACAGTGAGGGTTGCAGGCTTTTGAAATTATATATAACGATCTATAACGTCTAGAACCATTGAAAAGTGAGAATTAAGAACTCACATTGCATTGGAGGAAGCATCGGATCCAGGGGCGTAGTGGCTGGGGGAAAAGGGCTAAAGCTCTGTAATTAAACCACCAACGTTGTTGGTAAATTTCGGAAATTTTGCTAATTTTTCTGAATTTGTTGAAAAAATTTGCTTTCGTCATCCCAGAAAAAAAATTGACTACAACTGTGCCTCCGATAGTACATCTTGTTCGTTTCCTACTTTTACCAAGGTTTTAAAAGAAAATTCTTTTTAGCTGTTTGGGCTTTCAGACGAAACATGGGATCAGCTCATTGAGTTTTTTTATCAAGTATCACGGTAAGTTGCTATTAAATCTTTCATTTCACTGTGGCGGGGCCAGTGTTCCCGCTGCCACAAATCTGTTTTAAATTTTTGTGTTTCTTGGATGAATCATCAATTATATTCGTTCTGCTTGAAATGAGTTTTTCCAAGCTCAGATTTCATCATTTTACAATTAGAAAGTCAAGAATGTTGGGGCTTTTTAAAATAGATTTCACCTTTCCGACATGGGACATAAAACATATGGCCATGCTCCAATCGGTTTACGCCCCTTTGGTTTTAGCTATTTCCTACTACCATCCAACCAAACTGAAGCCACGATAACCCTAATTTAGATTCTATGTCAGATTTACAATAACGGTAGAGACAAAATTTACCGTTATAAGTATGATCAAAAATCGATCTATTGTTGCAAATATGAAAATAGAGATGAATGAAAGTCATAAAGAGTGGTGTTATAGACTACAATTAATAATTATTTATTCGATGCATTCGACAGCCATCACTAAAACACAACCAACCTCTGGTATCTCCTTTTATGTCAGGTTCTTCTTTTATACAAGGTTTTTCGTGACTTTTCGTCACTTTCCACGAATAATAACAATAATTTTGAGCCAATCTAGAACTGCCTGTGTCTGATAGAAACTTGGGTGGGAGAAAAAAGCTGCAAGACACCATGTCTCGTGTTAATAAGTAAACGGGCCTTTTTTGAGTTATCTATCTTTTTATAAAGCAAATAATTGGTTCTTTATGAGACAGTCTATTGTGAGACACTGCTAGGGACTGCGGATTATGTTATGGATTATGGAGGGGACTGGCAAATTTTCTTTATGAAAAATCAAAGAGAAATGTGATGGGGAGGGGGGCTGAACCCCTTTTCTGTCGCCACAGAGTGCATCATCTTAAGCTAAAGTGTCACTTCTTGACTTTGTCATGCTTGCTTTACAGTTCCAACGGGGTCATCATTGGAGCTGAATCTTACTTAAATGAGTGTGAAGAGCTATTAGAAAAGGTAAGAGAATAAAGGTAACAAAATTACAATTTCGTAAGTTTTGTTTCTCTAGATCTTTACTTTCCACTTAGCAGCTATGGCCTTGGCAGTGGAAAAACCCATTTGAAATAGCAGACAGGTCCTTTATTGATAACAGCACGTTGTTGCTGACCAAAGTTAACCTGTATAAATATGATATTATTATTATTATTGTGGGGTCTAGCTCAGCAGCACAGAGACAGATGCCACATCGCCAATATGGAAAGTATAATATTTAAAGACTTCCCCAGAAAAGATCGATTACAAAATTTGTAGAAATTGAAGACTTACGGGCACAAACCCTAGGAACTGAAGTCGCAAGCATTGTTAGCATAAAACAATCGCTAGCTATTGTGCTCGGACCCCAGAAGTTGAGAAACACGCCGTCCTTGCAACGTGATTTTTTATCATGGGGGGGGGGAGGAGGGAGGGGAGTGGAGGGACAGGTTGATCTAATTTTGCGCAAATCCATCCTCATCAGAAGCACGAATCACATCAAATTCTTATGATGGACTATTGTTGATTGCTGCCAAAAATTTGAAGGCTGCCTCAAATTTTTTAGATGAAGGAAGCATACCCACAAGTATTACTCAATGACAAGAATGTGTGGATTGTGAAGCCTGGTGCCAAGTCACGTGGACGCGGCATTATGGTTATGGATAATTTAGAAGAAATCTTAAAGCTATCAAGCAGCTCAGTTTTGAAAAAAGAAAACAAATGGGTTGTTCAAAAATACATAGGTTGGTTGTTTACATTTGTGATAATGTGAGAGTTAATCATTTCGAAAGTAAATTTAGAAAAGGAATAATGAAAAACTGCACCAATTTAATGTTTTATTCTGATTTATGGATCTGATACATCACTAGTTCTATATTCAGGGATCTGACAACCAAGATGAGGGGGGGGGCAAAAAGATATGAAATAGGAAGTAGGATATGGTAATAAAATTTCATCTGTCTTAAAATATCTCTATGAAGCTAAATCAGTTAGACAATGATTAGTTTATCATGAAGCCATATAATTTTCCCAAACTGATAACAATTTGATAAAATACATTACAATAAATACAATGTATTACAATACATTACAAAACATTATAATACAAAACAGTACAGTACAATACAATTGAATACAATTCAATACAATCATAATTGTTTAATCTATTGAGCCTATAGTTTGTCACACAATGTTCCATCTTTGCAGAGAAACCAAAGCTTATTTATAACACCAAATTTGATATTCGGCAATGGTTTTTGGTGACAGATTGGAACCCTCTGACCCTGTGGTTTTACAAGGTAAATATCTTTCATTTTGTACTAAGAAAATCTTTCTTTAGTTTCCATCTACAACGCCTGCTAAATGTATTGGTTAGCTGAACTAAGTCTTTGTAAATTGTTTACTTGATCCTCCTATCCCTCTTCAAACAATGTTTTTTATGCAAAGTTGCGAGTTTCGTTGTGGTTCAATAGATTCTTTTCAGATAGCTTTGATCTTTAACACTACAACCAACACTCTTTGATGATAAATATGCCCCTCCGAAGAAAAAATTAGTGATAGCAAATACTGCACTTTTCATGAATAAAATATAAGAAAATTTACAATGCTTCGATCTAAGGGAAAAAGAAAGTTTAACAACAACGAAACACTCTCTAACAGGGAGAAGTATGAAAAATAAAAAATAATTGGTTTATTTGATTAGACGCACTAAAATAAGTTGTTTCGAAAATTTAGATGTAAGTTTTTAGATGTAAATTCGTCAAGGATAACAAAAATTTTGGAAAACATTTTATTAATGAAATATTTTCCATGAATGAGAAACTCCCAATTCAAAGCAGCGGATCCACATTGCAAAATATATGGATTCAATACCATATCATACAGATGTGGCAAATTATGGAACTCGGTTCCAAACGAAGTAAAGTACCCCCTACTTTACAAATATTTAAGAAAAAAATCTCAGAATTTACATCATTCAATTGTACTTGTACTCTTTGCAAGGAATACGTATTCAACATCGGTTTTATTTGATATACATTATATTTAGCGTTGGTAATTTAAATTAGTTGGTTTTAATTAGCTTGAGTATGCATAGCTAGAAATTGTACAAATTTTAAATAAAGAAAGAAAAAAAGAGAGCCTGTCTTTTCGGAAACAGTTATTTTTTTAAAGCAACACGTGTAGTTCTCCAAGATACGTAGTTTTGCTTTAACCCAGTTTATTCACTGGAAGATGGACAGTTGTTCCTAGCAACTTTAGAATTTTTAAATGAAGGCGTCACAAAAATCTTCTTTTAGAAATTCTGTAGTTTTATCCTACAACTTGGAAGAGCATCGTGAAATAACGCTAAATTTGTTACGAATTGGCTGAGATTTGTTCACATGTACATTGGCTCTTTCCCCCTCAAACTCCAGTAATTTCGTCTCTGTTCATAACTCGATTAACAGAGCCAAGGCTACATTGATCCGCTAGCATTTTTCAAATCTTTTATTGGCTACAACTCATCCGGTTTTGACTCATTGAACTGATTTTATGAAGTACTGCATAGAGTTCTTTTATGTTATGTGGTCAAAATTCAAAGTTTTAAAAATGATTTCTTTTATGAATTCACACTTGAGAACTCTATTGAGCCTCATAAAAACATTTTTGCAAGTTCCTAACAACTTTATTTTTATCTCCTCCAGGATTGCTACCTGCGCTTTTGCAGTCAAGAATTTACCCTCAATAAATTTGATCCGTAAGTGTATTATCCTTTCAAACCTCTAAGTTCGTTCGTAGAATTCGCATACTACCCCAGTTACATAATATTTATTATTTCCAAATACACAGGGAATACCATCTTGCAAATAACTCCATTCAAAAAGATTATTCAAATGGACGCAGATCGAAATTTCTACCAGATGACAATATGTGGACAAAGGACCAATACATCCAATATTTGCGGTAAGCAATTACTTATTCTTTAATAAAAACAGCAAAGGTAAGCTTTCTTTTGCCGTGTACATACTCTCGAGCCCTGAAATGTTCTTGTGTTATTGCCCAACCCTTTGAATAGAGTAGCCCCAAGGGGTATTTTAGCTCGTGCGTTAAAAAGTTGTTTACGACAGTTTTTCAGAGCTTCGAAGTTGAGTGTTTTGAAAAGCAGACGCGTTGTTTATGATGTCTCGTTTGGCTAGGCCCATGTTTAGGAAAACATAACAAGCCCGGAATAAACGTATCCCCTTCGCTTATTAATTTTTCCAAAACCTATCCAACAATGGCATCCTTATAGGTCAGAAAAACTCCAATAGGCATCTCCAATAAACAAATTTAAATCTATTTATTACCTATAAACATACGGTATATCCTCGAATTGGCCACCTGCGAATTAGCCCCCACCAAAGAACTGCAAATTGTCAATAGCCCCCCTCGAAAAAGCCCCCCCTCTCGAATAAGCCCCACCCTAGAACTACAAATTATCAATAGCCCCTCCTCGAATAAGCCCTCGCTGCTATCGTAAATCCTCGAGTGACCTTATGCTTGCCATGACGCAAGTAAAAATAGGTGCACCTTTTAAAAATAAAGCGACTCCATTTTAAATAACCAAACTCCATTTTCTAGTATTACCATTTCTAACAACTAACATCCTTTTCTAACATCGAGCAAAAAGTGAAAACTGATGGATGAGATATCAACCTTGATAGCTAAGTGTTTTGAAATCTTTTATACAGGGAGCACGGTTACGGTGACCTTTGGGATGACGTCATTTACCCTACAATGAAGCAGTCCATAATCTACACGTTAGAATCCTGTCAAGATTCCTTGGAGTATAGAAAAGTAAGTATGTTTGATTTCATAACACCAACTATAACTAGATTCATACTAGATAACATGGAAGAGATGAAAGGGTTATGTCAAAGGGGAGGGGGTTCATGGCCCTTCGCCTTTTCAGTACCATATAATTTTAATGATTTTTAACCATCTCTTTCCACTCTGTGACCTCTCGACTTTGAAGTTCAAGTCGCAGCCCCTGGCTCATGGGCGGCCATTGGTCGACCAAACAAGCAGAGAACCACAACAAAATCTAGCAGAATGATTAAAATCTAAACATTTACTTTTAGCCAAAGCTATTCATGGGAAGCCTGTGCTTCATTTAGGGGTTTGGAACACAGGCTATTAATAGGCTATCATAGCCTATGATCTATCAACAAATGACTGATAGCCCCGCAAGATTTTTTCTTTCTGGAGGATGTCTTGCCAGAAAGGGGACTTAAGATTGACTTAGAACAAAAATATTCCAGCTTGCAAGGGATATAGGGAAATAGAAAATTGTCCAAATCTTTCGATGTTTAGAGAGGGCTCTCCCTGTTCTAAGAATTCTCAAAGGAGATGGTTTTCTCCATGCTTGTTAAACAGGGGTGCGACTGAAATTAATCGAATGTTTAAGCATTGAAGTTTTATCAGCCCTGACAGAGTTGTACCAAGGACATACTAGGGGGCGCCAAATGGGTAACATGTAGACAATTTTGAGCCACTACACCACTGCTTCTCATTCTACTAGTTCACAAAGTAAGAGCTAGCGTTGGCCCCTATGATTGCAAGCTTGTCCCCGGCTTTTAAGGTTTTAAGGCTAGATTCGCCGCTGACTGGCCTGCTTACAAGTACTCTCGTCTCAGTATCTCCGAGCGGCAAATCAATTTTTTAAAATCACGTACTCTCTCAAAAATAATCACAAATCGATCACATTAATCACAAAAAGACACATTTATCACAAAAAAAACACCAGTCACATTAATTAAAACTGTGAAAATCTTTGGCCACTTTGAATACCTATTTTATGGAAAACTCTTTTAGATATTCTGCGATAGAGGCAAAATGAAGGCCTCGTTTTCATGTCCATGTTACTGATAGGAAACCAAAAACAGTTTTCTAAAAATTTGTCTGAAGATTCCGTGAAAAAACATTTAAGCTTTTTGGAACTGGTTCTTTCGGTTTCTGAAAGTGACGAAGAATGTATTTAGGAAATAGATACAAAGAGGTCCTGCTCATTTCTATGGTCCTGCTCCTCAGATTGACCAAGACTTCTTCTTGTTCTACGATGCCTGCCAAAAGTACTTGGAACACCCACCAATTTACGCTGCATTTGATATCTTTCATTCCTTTCATGAAAAAAATTTGCTACTTCCGCCCCCTTCCCCCTCAAACAATGTTGATGATTTAGAGAAATATCATAAAAGAAGCGCAAAAGAAAGTGCTTCCTAAAATCCTAGTCCGTTTGATAGTAAACCAACATTGTTCCGTGGGGGAGAGGGAGATGATTGGTTTTGACCTTGGAAATTGATGTCAGTGTTCCAAGACTTTTGGCAGGCATTGTAGTCTATTGTGAAGCAGGACCAAATTTACAAAAGCCCATTGTGAAGCAGGACGAAACATAGGGTATCATACTTATGAGCAGAACCAAAATACAGGGTTGCCGTAGTAACGAGCAGGACCTCGAGATAAGCGCGGGATGCCTGTGTCAGCTGGCGAAACAAGAGGACTTCAGAAGGAATACTTTTATTGTTTCCAGGAAATCTATCTTTAGAAATTCTTGATCCAGCAGAACCTTTGGCTTCGCCACTGAGCACGGTTCGTTAGCTGATAAACTCCCCGTATAATCTGCTTTGTTTTGTTAACACGAGAGAAAATGTGTCAATTAAAAATCCAACCATTGCCTTATAATTATTAAAAAGAAATCTTATAAATATTGTCTAGGATCTTCCTTATCGATGTTGTAAATATTTTAGACGCATTTTCTGGCCAACCTTAGAATGTTATATCTCATAATTTTTCTCGCCCCCCAGGGCTTTCACTAAACCGTTTAAAATTAAACGGCGTCTAAAATAATTTTGGGGGCGTGATTTAATTTCAAGTACTGTGAAAGTGTGATTTGCAATTATTCTTTGCGGGATTGTGTGATTCAGCATGGATACCTGTTGCAGAGCATGGTAGTTCTCAACAAGATCTTGTCTGTTCAAGACCAAATAGAAATGTGTGCAGGTGTGCAAGATTGCTGACAAGGTGTACAATGTGTCCACACTATTCAGTTAAATGTAATCCCTGCTATTCATATTTTTTGACTATTCTGAACCACCTTAATCTCCTTGAATTTAGGCAAAACTTTAACAGGGTAGCAACAATGGTGTGGGGTTTATGTGTGAGTCTTGTGGGGATCTCAGTCAGTCAATTTTAGAACAAATCGGTCAACAGAATGAGCTTAATTGTTCTCCCTTTCCTCATAGATTCTTGTTAACTACAAATAATTTTGTAAAAGCAGGATCACATAGGATTTTATTATTCGAAGTTTAACGCTTGAAAACTTGCGCTTTTACCCCCAGTTTCAAGCAAGCTTAAATATACAAGATCACATTCACAATTCTTTTTACTGGCCTCCCATGAAAATCTAGTTTTTTGCAGACATTAACCAAGAAAGTATAGGCAGATCCAGAATATTGCGAATGATGCTTGAGCACAAGCCAGATTATGTAGATTCCTGAAACAATTTTTTTAATTTAGAACTTTTTGTTTCTTGTTAGCAATGGGCAATTCCTCCCTTGACCCTAGCCTTTGCTTAGAAAACTGACATAAAACTCAGGCTGGAATTTGCAGAGAACTGGATGAAACTATCATCAATTAGCATGGTCATGATTTCAAGAAATCAAATCAAAATTGATTCCAGGGATATATCATTGAGATATAAAATGATTCCAGGGCTATTCTATGGCAATCTATAGAGTGAGGTCCTTAAAAAATTTCCTGGTGGAGTACCCCCAGACCCCCCTCTTTTTTTCCTGATGTACCTCAGGTATTTCTTGGGTCCACCTTTGAAAATAAGTATCTCATTTTCTTATACCTGGAAAGTCAAATAAAACGTATAATTTTGTTGATAAAATAGAAATAAACCAATGTTTTGACGAATATTCAACCATTCAGCATTAAAACCGGGGTAGCGCCTGGGGGTAGCGCCTGGAACGACTTATTATAAACTCAAGTCTACAGCGTGGTTTGAGGTGGGTTTGGCATTTTTGAAAAATTCCGCTACTTACGACGCAAAATAAAATCATAACAAAGTGCAAAGACCGACTGCAGACTATGAAAAACAGTGTAGCAGGTATCGACAAAGTGAATTAATGTCTGTCTGGGCAAAAATCCCGAGATTTAAAAAAGTTATTAAAGGAATAATGAAGAGCGGTTTTGAGAAAATCGAGATTTTGCCAACATTCGGGCCGTTGAAAATCTTCTAGAAATACTTTAAACCTATTGTAAACTATAAATAAACAGTGTAGCAGACCATTCTCAATTGTATTAACTTTAAACAACATTTTTATTATTTTTCTGTGAAAAGTTATTAAAGGAAAGCCGGAGGGCTGTTTTCACAAATTGCACATTTTTGTCTAAGTTTCGGAGACTTTCCTGGACATTACCTGGAATTTTTATTTAGCTACGAAAATATGAAAAAACAGTAAGAGTATGGTATCTGTCATGTTTAGAAATCAAATTAGTTAGTCAAAAGTTATTAAAGGAAAACTGGAGGGCAGTTTGCCTGCGAATCGTCAGAGCGAATAGTCTGAATCGTCAGGCCTAGATAAATCAATAAAATAAACTGCACAAAGTGAAGTATCTATTTGCAAACATGAGAAACTTCCTCCTTCAAGTAAATTCTTTTGCTAATCGTTAGGTTTACTGATAAAATTTGACACTTTCGTTTACACTGTGTTATATTGCTCTTTCGATTCAGAAATTGTTTGCTACTTAGATTGTTGAAATTTAATGAATGAACTCGTAGTATTTTAAAAGATCGAAAAAGGTAATCAACAACGGATGAAACTACAACGTTTGATAACACATAAAACCACATCGATCGTACCGAGAGCAAGTTACTCCCTATATTTATAAAATGCCTTTATAGGCTAGGCCTCTTGCTGATTAATTATGAACTACCGGTTCCAATACAGGACCTGGGATGCCTTACTCACTATTCCGTCGATCCTCCGGTTTAACTATCTTTAAAATTCAAAATTTGAACCAATAAAGAACTTACCCAGTTCGAATTTCCACTCACCTGGGTTTATATTTTGCTGCTTACTACCATGTGACCAAGAATGGACGTCCTGGGTTGCCAGGCTGGAAACTTTGTTTCTTGCGCAGGCAAGCTCACGCGCCTGACTGCGCGACTGCGCGCCTGAAATCACACACTTTTAAGAAATCTGTAGTGCTATTAATGTGAAATGTATTCAAATAAGTAGGGACTTTGCGCGGCCAAAATGCAAAAGTGCGCGGATGGAAAATTTGAGTGCGCGGGCAATGTATCGCGGGCGCGCGACAAAGTTTCCAGTCTGGCTGGATTGTGAATAACAAGCAAGGGAGCTAATGCGCATGATTAATCAACAACAACTAAAAGTTGAAGGGGGTGGGGGGATTCCAAAGATGGGGGATTTTTATAAAAATGTTTACTTTTAGGGTGGAAGCTAGTTCGAGACAGGCATCAATGAACGGGAGCCATAGCCCCCGCGTTTTGTCGAAAACGTCAAGAAATTGACCACCAGTTAAGACTCTATTATTCTGTTTTAGCCTCCCCTAACTTTTACCAACGCTCTGTGGTGCCTGCCAGTGGCGAAGCCAAAGGCACTACAAAGATAAGATTTACTATAAACAATAAACAAATTTCTTTTTGCATAAAGGGAGTTTCAAATTCTTTTTGATAAACAGTCCCCAGCTCCGCCAGCTGGTACAGGCATCCCGCGCTAATCTCGAGGTCCCGTTCTTTACTACGGCAACCCTGTATTTTCGTCCTGCTAACTATGATACCCTATGTTTGGTCCTGCTTCACAATGGGCTTTTGTAAATTTAGTCTTGCTTCACAATAGACTAGAACAAAGAGCAGTCCTGTTCAATCTCGGGAGCAGGACTTCGTCAGAATGGTCATCATAATATGTCATTAGCAGTAGTGATTTGATTGGTCGAGGGTTCATCTTCGTAGGTCAAAAAGCATTGTTTTGAGAACCTTTGGTCCTGTTGTTTCTTAGAGCAGGACTGCGAGAATTGCCCTGTGCATTTTCGTTCTGTTTAGAGACACTGAGACAAGAGGCCAGTTCAAGTATTATAGCGAGGCGGTGAGATGTGGATTTCCTGCTTGATTGGGCGATACCAATGTTATTATTATTGACAGCAATACTTGCCTCAGTTGAGCTGCATAAATTCTATTTGTAACAACATAGAGGCCAAAGTTCGCGAGAAAAGGCACGGTATATCATGGTGGCTTGAATAAGTAAGATTTCCTTAGACCTGGACAAGGACGATGAAAGCATAGTTAAATTTACTGTTTAATTTAATTTCATCGAAATTTGTATTTTTAAGAGATTAACGAGCGACTGGTGTTGTGTGATTGATTGCTATGTTGAATACCGATGAGCTGAACGCTGAACTGCTAGTATGAAAGCGTATTTTTCTACCTGAATTGTTTACTCGTCTAATGGTTTGACTAATGAATTTATTTTCATTGATAATGCGACACATTATTCAAGTGTACCTCTCTTTATCAGCTGCAGAATGAGTGTTCTGCGGAATATGTGAACTTGCCTCTGCAGACTTTAAACTCTGTTGTTTATTAAATATATTTTAATAAAGTATCTAGATTTGTCAGATTGATAAGACCAAAATCTAGAATAGTCTTTTTAGACTATTTCAACTAACACACCTTGACATTCCAAAAGCCAGAACTACCAATAATGGTATCAGATCATTAAGTTTTCAAGGGGCTAAAATCTGGAATTCACTCCCGGAATCAATAAAGACAGCAGAAAATACTAGACAATTTAAGAATTTGATCAAAACTTGGTTCCTTGAAAACAAGTGCGCGTGCTCGTTCTGCAGTGAATGAACTGCCTTATGCAATCCTTGAAATTGCTTCATGTTAGTCTTAATTAGTGTATATTCACTATTGTAAAACTAACATTAAATAATCTACAATACAATACAATACAATACAATACAATACAATACAATACAATACAATACAATACAATACAATACAATACAATATATGATATGCAACTTCAAATGTCACCCCTGCCCCCTTTTATTGTCAAATTTAGTTATCACCAATTTAACTTTTACTTCCACTGTAGAGGATTACTACAATTTAATATAGATTTGTTTGAAAAGTAAGCACCCTAAAGAGTGACTGGGGACAAAAGACCTCAGCTTGCTTTGGATGCGAAATATTTTCCATTTCATTCGATTTTTCGTAGGGATGCTCCCGGTCAGGAAAATTTCTTGCCGAGGACTGTTTTCCCGGGTTTGTTACACAGGGGTGCATCGGTCGCGATTATTGTAAATCCCCAATTCAATTATCAACGTTTTACTTTCAGAATTCTTTCGAGCTGTTTGGTGCTGATTTTATGCTAAGCGAAGACTTAAAGCCGTGGCTTGTAAGTATAAACATGAAATACGTTCCATTTATAGCCTCAATCGTTGTTTATAACTCAAGAACATCCAAAACTAGTTGAAGTTAAGTTGAACTAACTTGAACATTTTCACTCTCTCATTATCCCTACTCGTTCCCCCCCCTTTCCTATGCCCTTTCACCTCTTAGCCTTTACTCTGTTGAGCAGGGTGTCACCCCGTGTGTATGCTTCCTCCCTCCGTTATAGATGCCTTCCATGTTGAAACTTTCTTCGTATTTTAGATTGAAATTAACTGTAGTCCTGCGATGGGTCCAAGTACGGCTATCACCGAGAAACTCTGTGCTGAAGTTATCGAAGACACGCTGAAAGGTTTGTTAACAACAATGGCACTTGCAATCAGTGGTGGTTTTAAGGGGGATCCAGGGGGCCATGGCGCAAGACCCCGCGGTAGCCAAAAGGGGCCCCACACCAAAGAAAAAAGATAGGAGTTGTAAAGAACAAGGGCCCCGCAGATGTTTTTGGCCCTGGGCCCCGCAGATGTTTTTGGCCCCGGCCCCCGAAGTCCCTAAAACCGCTGCTGCTTGCAATGAGTCTGTTTTTTATGGCTTATCGATGTTTCCAATGTTTTATTACATTTTTGAATCACTTTCCAAACTTAACGATTCTTGTGAGTTTTTTGCCGTTTACCCCTTTATAGTTAGCTTATGTATCGTAAATCCTCGAATGAGCCACCGGTGGGCCAATTTGGGAAACTGTAGATGCTGAAAATCGTCTTGCAACAGTTTACTTTGAAAGCAAACTTTCTTTAACTTTTTACGTTTTGGAGTTGAATTTGGAAATTGATGTTGACCACGCAAACACTTTGCAAAGATGCTTCGTTTTCTCCAGTTTTGCATTTTACGTTGATTGATTACGTTGATTTGCATTCTTCATGGACTGAAATCGTGTCTTGTAAAAATTGGCATGTTAAGCGTGGGGACTTATTTGAGAGGAGGGGGCCTATACGTGTCGGCCATTCGATGATTTACCGTATGAGTAGTCTGTCGTTCGTTCAATGTTGTTGCTGATGTTTTGCTGTTGATGTTGTTAGATTTAATGCATAGACCCGCCTTTAAGCACTGCAAGATTTCCCAGAGTGAAAAAAGATTCAAAGAATATGCTCATCAAAGAGGCTTTATTTTTGTTAGCAAAATGTTAATAACGCATTCGGATATCAGCAATTCAGGCAACGCCTCAACCGCACTAAAAGGTACTTTTTCGAAGAGAATTTTGGCCAAAAAGACACGTTGTTAGTTCTTTCTTAAATGTAGACCTTGTTCTGCCATTTTCCACAAATCTGTTCTGGATTAAACAACTGCAAGAAATAGCTAACCCCGATCTGAAAAGTCCCCTGGCTTTGCTCTCCTCGTAGTTGGTGCCAAGTATAATATTTCACAATAAATATTTATGATTTTCTGCTTACAGTTGTTTTGGATCGACGGGAAAACAAATCTTGCGACACTGGCAAATTCGAGCTAGCATTCAAACAGGTATTTACAGCATAGTTAAAATATTGTATTTCACACTCACAATTAAATGAACATAGTTTAAAAGCCCACTGATCAGGCCAGGGCTTCAATAACTAATTACCTTCCAGCAAGATAAATGGATGTATCTTGAAATTCGAAAACTTAGAAAGGGAAGTTTTCTTTCATAAATTTAAAATTAAAACTGCGCCAATTCATCAGAAGAAGGCTTACATGGGAGATATTTTGTTCGAATTTCATGGTTTGTTTTGAAGAGGGTTCTCGATCCATTTCTCCTAGCAATATTTGCTGTATACCCCCGAAGCACGCAGAAACTCAAAGTTTTGCCTTTCGGTACCTGTGGAAATGGATTGAATAAGCAGACTTAAGATAAAACTATCAGAAAAAATTGCTTTTTAAATCATCTAGCATTATACATTCATTTTTCGTGAGGTGGTCGTTGACTACGACTCCTTTTTTCTCTTTATTGAGTTCAAATGGTCGTGAAATTTCTTTCAAGGGATTCTCTAGTGTTCTAATGCTTTATAACGGAAATGCACTGATATTCTCTGTGTCTAAAGTGTTTTTGCTAACCAGCCAATCATGTGATGACATTTTTTTCAAATTTCAGTTTTTGTTTTTTTGGCTTCTAGTACTGAAATTTATTATTTGTTTCTAATTGCCCAGTACTCGTTTCTTATAGAGCTTCTTATGAAATAATATGAGTGTACTATTTCGAAGTGTGACCTTACAGGTCGATTCTTATATGATTTTAGCAATACATTCCGATTCCTGTTTACACTGGAAGTAATCTCACAGTGGAAGGAGAAGGGTGCAAGAAGCCCTCACAGCCGTCAACTTCTCCTCAACATAGTGTCCCAAAAACATTGCGCCTTACCAAATTTAAGGAAGTCAAAGAAGCTAAAGAAGCTAAAGACTTGGTACCTAAATCCGAGAAGACCACTTCGGCGGTTTTATCCTCAGTTGTTATAAAGTGTGGGGACAAAATACCGCAGTCTAGTGCCCCAGCTTTATCAAATGAACATTCAGCATGTGACAATATATTACAGAAAGAGATAAAGAAACTAATATTAGGCGGCAAAGAACCTAGCAACTCTTGGGGTGGCTGTTTGTGCGGCAAAGGCGAGAAATGCGCAGTGGTATCCGGCTACCATGTTACTAACGCCTCGCTTGACGTTAGCATACCAGGTGTATCTACTTCGGGTAAAGGGCAGCCTCAAACTGGTACAGAGGATGGTCAGGTGCCTGCAAGACTTTCTAAACAGGCCCTAAAATTAGCACAAATGCACCGCAAGGCGAAGAAGAAAAAGACCTATGCTACTCTGAAGTACCATCGATCTAACGATGGGCCTGGGTTGTCTATCAGTCCAGGCAATGGTGTGACGCAAATGTGACAACATAAATGCTTAGAAGCATTAATGCATATTCATTTAACATTGACTCGATTCGTAGGAATTGGCTTCTATCAAATGCTTAGCAAATTTAAAGACCCTGATAGTAAGTACTACATGTTTCAAAGATATCCAACTTGACCATCCAACTGTCTTTAGCTTATCATAGCGAACCCCACGTGCATATCATAAAACTTGACTCTATAGAAGAAAAATCTAGCTGTTTCACCGACAAGTCATCATCTTTTAGTATTTTGTAAATAAACACCCAATATGAATTTAAAAAATATTGTTTAAAATTGTGGTATTGTGTTTCCAGCATAATTAATATTTTAATGTGTAAAAATTTTTTAACCCTTGGTACGCTAAATATAAAGAGGTATTTCTAAGATTTAAATTTTAAAAATAATATTGATAATGTTTATATAATAAAATAGAGATTTTCATATTTGACTGAGTTTTTCTTCGTGCGTGTTGCATTAAGGTCATAGATGTCACGCAAAAATTTACACGAAGGCAAATCAAAACACGACAGCAACACAAACCTTGCGGTTTCACGGCCTCGACCCTTTTTCTGCGTGCTGCCTGCGTGCGTGCTGCGTGCGGCAAAGGGTTTTGTGCTGGTTGCAGCTTCAGCCTAAAGCTGAATTCACACTGGACGCGTCACGGCGCGGCGCGTCATGACGCTGACCAAATATGGTTAGCTTTTTCGGCAGCAATGCGCACGCAGCGCGTTTTTTCAGCCACGCGTCACCGAGCGTCAAAGTTAAATAAATTTAACTTTGACGCTCGGTGACGCTTCAGAACAATAGAAAACCTAGAGAATAATGACAGCCAGAAACGTAAACAAGGAGCTTCTGAAATAGGCCATTATAAAACTGTATTGCTTGTACGGTGAAGTATATTTTGATGAGTCTCTTTGATTAAAGCATCGGGGGGCTAAAATCTTTGAAAGTATCAAAAACAAATCACATTTATTAGTTTGTGATAAGTAACAGTATTATTCGTGTTTAGTGTCTTTGTCTAAAAAGTTGCCTCGTTAATGTTCAATTCAACAATGATGTTGAGTCATTGTATGTTCCGTTTTGGTAAAAAAATATTACAATCACTCCCCGTTAAGCTTTCAATATCTTCCAAAGGTGTACTTCCGAGGGATTTAATTCATGAAAATTTTCGGCAGTGTTGATAAAAATAGGCTGTTTAATTTTCCCTCGAATTTTGGCAGGAAGGGAAACCCCATGGATCTGTAAAGCCAAACATTTTGCTAATTGTAGTAGACCTTCCAAATCTTTAATATCAATAAAAATTTCAGTTCACTAATGAATGCTTGAAGAGAATCGTGTTCCTGTCAAAACATTGGCCAACCTCTTGGACCGAAATGTTGAAGAAACCGCATGAGACTAATTGAAGTACATAGAATACCTAATTTTTTGGCCAAGATGCTGTTTTTGATATATTAGCTTCAGATTACCGTTTTATCCGTTTCTGTAGCAAACTTAAATGTCCAGCTTGACTGCAAGGAATACAGTACAACCTGTCAAGAATTTTGCAAGTTTGCTGTGAACAGCATTGGAAAACAGAAAACACGCCGCTCTATGACGCATCGTGTGTGAATAGCATGAAAAAGTACATGACGCGACGCTCGATGACGCTCAGTGACGCGCCGCGCCGTGACGCGTCCAATGTGAATTCAGCTTAAGAAGCGTCTTGCGTCTTAGGATGTGGACGCAAAGAAAGTTTGGACCATCGCAACTGCTTGTTCTGCGAATCATAGTGGAAACCATAAGAACTTATAATACAGTTACTTCTAACACAGACTTGTGAATAGAGATGCTTCCTTTTTACTAATACACGAGTGTCGCGCTTTTTGTGTCACGACACGTTTTACTATCGCGGAAAAACACGGAGATACCTTTCGCAGACACAGACTGCTGGAGGAACCTTGCATAGCGTTTATCTCAATAGAGCTCGGACAATTTCATTCGTAGTGAAAGGGAATACAACAACAATTTTCTAAGGAAAAAAGTACGCTTACCAGGGAGTTTCGACTAGGCCTTGTAGCTTGTCTCTTCAAGATGCCTATTATCATGAACACAAGCATGCCATTATCACAGCATGTAATCTTTATTCTGTACCTCATGTTGTCATATTTGCAATGTTTTGCGGCTTCCGCTGCCAATGCACAAGGGAAACGAGTGCATGCCAATTTCTGAGCATTTAACAAAGGCAAATATTGATTAGGTTGAAGCCTCTAGGGACATTTGTGTATGGTACAGGGCACGCACCGCTGATCCTCTAGCCCCAATTATTGGCAAGCATTTGTTGTCGCTGTTTACTTGTGGACACGGTTTCAAAGTATTTGTTGTAATCTAGTTTATATAAATAATCTGGGCTGATTTTAATCTTTTATATAACAAAAAAGTGGGTTGGCCACGGCTCCCTACCCCCTGTGACAGGAGATATTTTTGCATTTTTGAAATTTTTCAGTTTTGTTGCACAGATAAGAACTCCGTACCACATCGCTTATATTTTCGCATCTCCTGGGTTGAAAATCTCAAATAGGGTTTTTAGACTAAAACTATAAATATACAGTAATACAAATTATCTCTCAGCATTAAACCCTCGGAGGGAAAAATTCCATGCCAGAATGTATGCATGAGTTTTCATTTTTCACAGATTGAGTTGCTTTGAAAAATTACAAAGGATTTTAGTCAAGTTTTCTTCATATATGCTGGATGAAGTTTCAATAGAAATGACGAACATAATTTTTACAGCAATAAGTTTACAAATACAGCAAACAAATCCGGAGCCGTTCAACAACTTCAGATTATGTTTTATGTTACACTTACACGATAACAACACTATTCAAGATTGCAACTAAATTGTGTCTTGCAGTCTTAACGTTTGGTGAGGACTTCTTGGCAGATTTCAGTCCAAATTCCTTATTGTTGTGGTACACCTTGGGCTTTAAAAAAGCGCAACGTAAAACCTTCCAAGAAAAATTTCATGTAACTTGGAAGCTGGAATAGATTTCTTAGCCTACAAAAATGAGGCTCCCAGCCTCTGAAAAGCCTAGTGGAATCTTTAAATTTTAGTTTTTTCAAGGACTGTCAATCAAGTTTTATTGTTGTCAATCAAGTTTTCTTGTTGTCAATCAAGTTTTCTTGTTGTCAATCAAGCGCCAACCTTGTTAAACAGTCCTGTCAAACAAGCGTCATTTCTGTCAATCAACCATGTCATTCAAACCGCCAATGAGATTTAGCAACATTGAATCTATATACACACAAGACATAAAATTCTATTGATATTTATGTTTCTTCTCAAAGACAATTTTTTCCATTTCTTATCATCAATATATTAGCTTGAATTTCCCTTGCACTATACACGATTGGTCTTTGCTCTAAATCTGTAAAATCGTGATGCAAAATCTAAATAAATCTTCATACATTAATTCAATTCAAATTGGTGGAAACATCGACGAGCCTCCATCTTGAGATGCAACTTGCTTTAATGATAAATCTATTACACAATGTCATGGTCCTGCAGGACAATACTCCTGCAACAAACCCTGTTTTTACATTCAATATTCTGACAGCCACTCGCGGACTGGGAATATGGGCCTTCAGTGATATTGTCACAGTAATATAGTTCTTCTGCATTCAGGCCAGTGCATGTGCTTACCAAATCTTTTAATCCATCAGCACTGACATTCAGGCAACCAGACAGATCTAAATGCTTGAGCGATGGCAGACCGCGCCTTGCAAGAGCCCTGGAAACGAGAAATACGTATTTGAGACTGTTAATGACGCAAAGGGAACACAGTGGAAACAAAATAATTGTTTTGGGGCTACAGGAGCAATGCGATGCTTCGCAACGTGTTAGTTGTAGCTTTACATGGTTTGATAAATAGGGACTCTGAACATGCCGTACCGCATCTCTTTTTCTATACCAAGAGGGCTGTCGAGCTTGCAAGGTTACTGGGCACATCTAGATTGACATATTCTTACAGCAAAATAAATTCCAGGGCCTAGCCACTCAAGCAGGCTACAAAACTGTTCCCTTGCGCACCTGTCAATCAAATTCATAACCACTCTATCCCTTCTTTTAAATAGCGTGGGTGATTTAATAACTGAACCATATAAAGTACCCATCATACCTGAGCCCCATGTCAGTTATTTTGTAGCAACCAGAGAGCCTTAGGCACTCGAGGCCTTTTAGAGATTTGGGCTTGCAACCAGCACTTGGGGGTCGTGAGGGATGCGAAGCATCTTTCAATTCCTTTCGAAGATAACAAGAGCAATCGTTGCACCTTCCAGTTGATTTTTTCTCCGATTTTGAAGATTTATTGTAAAAAGTCGAAAGTTTCATCAAAGTTTTGTCGGTTATTCTCGTACATCCTGATACATCAAGATATTTTAGCTTTCGACCACCGCCATCTTTAAACAACCTATAAAGAAAATAATATGTTACCAATAGAATTATAAAAATAAGCCTATGATGGTCCTACCAAAATGAAACCAACAAAGCAAAAATAAAGAAGAACATTCCGGATATGCAAAGATCCTGATGCATACTTGGAAACTTTCATATTTGTCACAAAGTCCATTCGAAAATAGTCAATGTTTTTAACTGTTTTGGTCACGACATGTTTTCTGCATTGAAAGAATCGAACGACGCACAACTAAAAAATCACAAAACTGTACTCTGTAACCTTATGATGACAACATAAGTCTTCTTTCAATTCACTTAAAAAATTACGGGTACTAAACAGAAAATCCACAATGGCAAATTATTCGCAAAAAACATTTAATTAACTCTCAGAAAAGGGTTTTTGAAATCAATTAAACTGAATTGGACAATTTCCCACGGTAAAGATCCTTCATAGGAAGCCTGCAGCAGCATAGGCATTGCAAATCACCGAACTAAGAATAGTAACTTGCTCAGGATGTACATTTTTTTCTGTTGAATGCGTCCCCTATCGGCAAAGACATGAAAAAAACATGAAATTTCCTTGTTTTGAGACAAAACAACTTCGATTTTTCAGGTTTAAATATAAAAAACAGGACAATATTTACAATCAGGTTTAATAATGATACTGAAACTGTCAAATAACCAAACATCCTCATAAGAGAAACTCGAGAAAGGATGGGAGTATGTTGAGCAATTCCAACATAGACAATTACCCCCAGATAGAACAGGGATCGCCCAGTGAACTTAATATCGAACCTAATACAATATCAATCACACGAGTTTGCAAAACATTACAACTGCTAAAACCGCCAAAAAAGGTTCCAGTTAAATTCAATTTTAGTTTTGAATTCCATTAATTTTGAAAACCAAAATATAAAGTTTCGTTTATCATGGTGGGCATCAAATCAAGGCGAAAGTAAGACGTTGAAAATCCTTTCATAGCTCTACAAGTGGCCTATCTATTTTTTAATTTCTTTTGAAAATCTTCCAAAACACAAGTCACTTTAAGGATCTTTCTTCTTGAAGGAGTTTTCGCATAAGCAAATGCATTTTTCATGCCTCAATTTTAAAATTGTTAAAATACTTAGTAAAAATATTAAATTTATTTCATGTCGATGCTTACCCGTTAAGACCAAGGTCAGAAATGATTGTCTGCGAAAGGTCAAGATATTCGATGTTAGGGCACTGGCTCAAAATTCTGTATAGCTGAAAAAGAAAAACATGTGACAAATTGTTATCAAATGGCTGTAGCATTAGTTTGATAAGGTTATGGTATTTCGTGTACATAAAAAGAAAGGAGGTGATACCAAAACCACAATAAGGGCAAATAATGGTACAAAACGTATAATGTTCTACAAGTAGGCCCAGAAACAGTGTCGTGATTCTAATTTCAAAGTCGCCTTTTGTAGCGTTAGTTTGACAAGGTTATGGTACTTCAGTAGAATTTGTGTGAAAAAACAAAAGGGGATGATACCAAAAACAAAAAACCACAATAAGGGCAAATAACTTTAAAAACATGATGCACTGCAATTAGGCCCGTTTATTTACACAGGACGGGCCTTCTTGTCTTTAGTTTACGCCTATACGAAATTATTCAAACTTATGATAACAGATCACAAAAATCACACAACATTCAGATACGCTCTGTATTGAAGATTGCTAGAGCATCTAGCTTTTAATAAAGGTACACGTTTTTTCAAGCGACAGCTGAAGCCTGACAGTAAAGCGTACGTAGACACGACAAAGAGTGATTTCTTGTTATTACTTGCTGCTCCTCTGGAGTAGGCATTTTTGACACGAAGTGCCAAACAAAATCACAAGAGCATTGGTACTCACAAGGATGACATATACGAGGTCTCCTGCACTTTATGAGTTTCAAGCATTAGAGGATGGAAGTACAATTTTGGCACAACAGAAACAGCAGAACTTATAAGGTAGAAGAGTGGATCAACGAGAGACGTAGGATTGTCGGCACTGGCAATCGCTTTAAGCACCCTTTACTAAGCAGCTAGAAACTTAGCCAATTGCTAATGATATATTTGACAAAAAACACAAACCACAACAAAGTATGCCTGAAAACATAAAAAAAACAAATGGTTACAAGTGGGAATCAAATGCTGCAAGTTGATCGAAGAGGAAAATACCATAGCCTAAATATTAACGTGGGGTTCGTCACTGCATATATCCTTGATAACCCTAAATGAAAATACTAAATAACTGAAGCAAAGTAAACATGGCTTACAAGTCCATTGGTGACGGCCTTGCTGCATTCAAGTACAAGTGTCTTCACACCCTTGCCAACTTTCGGAAGCAGGTACCTTGAAATGCCAAGTAAAACCTTTGACTCCCTTGTGAATTCTGCATCATCGTCGTCCTCCTCATCGGACGCAGTTGAGCTTCCTTCGTCGATTTCACTAAAGAAAACAACTTAAAGTTAGCTGCTTGAATCCTGAAACAGTAATAGACAGCGCCGTCCTTGTCACTATTCTTCGTGTGAATACGTAATACTTAGGAAATAGAAAACGAAACGATTCTGTGCAGATTTTTTTCAAAACGAGTCTTTGAATAACAAAAGGCTCGCTATCAATGTTAAGAACTTGAAGCTCCTTGACAAAATGACAACATTCATCTTTATCCGCTAATCTCTAGTATATTAAAAAACAAAAACTAAGAACTTAAAATCATAAAACTTAACATTTTCCTCAAACAGAAATACCTGCAAGAATTATTTGCATGCAGCCTAGAGTTTGGGAATTCTCAATAACACCCCGTCCCCCGTTTCTCTTTGTTTGATAGCAGCTATGTTTGATAAGATTGTTACTGCTTCAGCTTCGAAAAATCTATCATTATACGTTAGTTACAATGATACAGGGACTGTGACAGCAGGGGGATGCACCGGCAAATAATCCCCTATCAAGCACTGAGTAGGCTATATATTGTACTATTTCTTCTTAGCATCTGCTTGATTAAAACCTTTTTCTCCTTTAGTGAAATAGTCCATGTGACAGTAACTTACAAACAGAGCAACAGCTGGTAATTTTTGCCATCTTTGCTATGAAAAAAACTCAAAATCTTACTCTTTAAACTGCAGCATTCTATAATTTGGCTCACAGTCACAATTGCAGTCATCAGAGCTTGTTTGTTCACCAAACGTCCATTCACCACGACCCCATCTTGACGGATGCAGCACTGTCCATAATTCTGGGTCCATGGCAACAAAAGACCACATCTTGGAGACTTGGGCACATCTGCAAAGTTCTCTTGGCTGCAAATACTTGAAAATCTTTAGCAATATTTCTGATGGCAAAACAGCTTCTGCTGCAAGACTAGATTCTTCTTGCACTTGCCCACGCTCTGTTTAAAAGTATGAATAAAATCAGATAAATTAGGCTTATTGAAAATTGTACACTGTAATCAAAACTTTTACATTGTCAGAAATAATCTGATGCTAGGATACAAACCTGTCGCAAGTAAATAATGATGTTTCTAAGTCTATCACTGTTCCTTTCCTGTCATGTTTAACACATACCTGCAGATTGTTGTGGTTTCCAACTAAAGTACAGTTTGTTTCAAATGCGAACATTTATAAATAGACAGATTATCACCCAGCATACAGATACTGCAGTGAAATTATAACATTCTAAGGGTTAGAGCTTCTCATTTAGTTGCCGTAATTACAGAACAGAGCCTTTGTTGGCTTTAGTAGCATCATTGATTTCAATTACTGCTTAGATACCAATGGACCACAAAGATGAAATAAAAATAAGCAGAAAAAGAAAGAAAGGCTTCTAAATGGCATTGAAAAGGCAAATGCAGAAACTCACTTTGAACTTTTTGGTCTCTTTTTGGTTGCACATTTGAAGTTGCAGGGACTTTCTCCTAAAATAGTTTATGTAAATAATCAAAAATTAGTGATGATATATCATGCTAAAAAGTATCTCACAAAAAGTATCGGTTTCAAAATTTCACAATTTTGTTTATAGTTGTCTTACAATAAACAAAACAATACAATTAGCCAATCATGTTAACAACTATGCAACAAACCTTGTCATCTTGAATGCAATGTAAGTTTAAAACTCTTTCTTTAATGTTCTTCAGTTCAGAGTAAGTAAAATAATTTTGGAGAAGTGGCTGGAATACCTAGAAAGTGACATGTCAGTATAAGTATGGAAGACAAGAGTATTTGATAGAGGCAAATCTACAAGCTACATAAAGCACTATTGCCATTTTTATACTTGATTAATATCAATGTTACATGGTAAAAAAGTGAAGGTCTTAAAGGCATTGATTCATGGTAAATAGGCCTTCTTTACAGGGGATAATTTGGTTTTGGTGTGTTCGCTGCAGTTTCATAGATCTTTCATCAGCATCTGTTGACGACAACCTGCTATTGGTGGAAACTGCTTTGTTAATCAGTATTAGGTGAGTTCATGTGACCAGTTCTAGGTCAACCAATAGCATCGCATCACAAAAAATCATGATTCAGCGGATTTGGGTAGGTTTGGGTATACCCTCTTCTTTTATCATGACTCAATGCCTTTTAATTAACGTTCATAAATGCCAGAAACATAAAGCAAAAATGCAAGGCAAATTGTGAGATGATAGAACTGCAAAGGCTATTTATTTGACACAATGTTTGGCTTCATGCTGATTTTCCTTTCCTGAGAAAGCACAATAAACAGCTGAGGAATTGCTCAACATATGAGGATGAAGTACCTTGTGAATATCACAGATAGTTGCCAAAGTTAAAAGGGGAAGCAAACATTGGCATGAATGATTTTGGAAATGAGTATATATTCGGATTGTTATGAATAATGGTGTAGATTGCAAAACCTGGACAATAATTCAGTCCTTTGGCATTTCTTAGATGATATTCTTAGTGACTTAGTGAGTGCAAAATTTTGATTTTTAAACTTTATATCCCCGATAGAAATAAAGCATTACCCTCTCTTCATCAACCATATGAGGTAAGTATTCTTCATAGAACATGCTCAAAGACTGGCTCAATTTCTCCCCATAATTCTTAAGTGTCTCTTCTGATGTAATACTGGCAACTTCCACTTGCAAATTTTTTACTAGTTTTATCAAATCTGAGATATGGCTGTTTGCATGCAAGTGTTTGATAAGCTTTTTCAGCATGTCTCCATCCAGCCTTTTTTTCAGTACCCTCATTATGTATTTATCTTCAATTTCTTCATGGAGACGAAACTGTATGAGGGTGGTGCGTAGTTGTTGTAGTAATGTGACAACACTTGACCTGTCTTCAAAGTTGGTTGAAGTTACCTAAAATCATAACATGGTGCAAAATATTAAAATCTTACATTACGTATCAGAAAATTAAAAATATTGCCACTGAACTGTAGAGACACACATGATATTTCACTTTTCCAATATCCTGTAAAATATTTGGAGGACATGAAAAGCATAAGTCTAACAGACTCACTACCCAAGGGCCAGGGCATACCTTAACAAATGCATGAAATGCACTCTGGCCCAAATGAAATGTCACTTTTCCTGTCATGTTTTGAGCTAAACCACTGACAAATTTTTCAACTTTTTCATTTTATTGTTTACTTTAAATTCAAACATACATGCAGATCTAAGCATATGAAAGAAAATGGTAACAAATGATGAATGCAAGTTTAACTATGAATAAAATAGTAGCAAACAAGAACTCTAATATAAAAGTAGTAAATGTATTACTAGAATATAAACAAAAATGTTCTGCTTTATTTGCACAGACTAGAATTTCTTAAAGGAGGAACTCCCTTAGTAGTTCAAAAATTAACGAAGGGAGAGCTCCCTTTGGTTGAGAACATATTTATTAAACTCATGTATATGATATTTGTAACAATTTTAAGTGAATAATTACAAGGAAATTTTAATGTAATTTTTCAGATTTTTGTATGGATAATTTCTTGTTTCTTTTGAAAGATAATTCCACATTTTTGTCCCCTGATAGAAAATGGACTTCAAACTGTAGTTGAGAATATTTTTGTGGGTCAACAATACATCCCTATGACAGATTAAGCCAGGTTCACACCAGTGAGGATACGATATTCTCACTGAGTGAGATAAAATTTTCCAGTGAAACTATTTCAAACCGGAAAATTGTTCTAGTTAGAACGCAAAGTTCACATTGGGTTATCTCACTTAGTGAGAAAAATGACTCAGATTTTCTGAAATGGATAGTAATTCTGACAACAATTTCAAAGATGCAGCCCTAGTTCAAAGATCCAGGAGATCTCGTTTATGTAAGCAAAATGGAAGATTTTGGTTCGGGATATTTTTAGCGTTCGAAAGCAGCATGCAGAAGTTACTGCAAGAAATGTGCTTGGTGGACAAATTTCGCATTTGTTTGTTTTTCCTATCGCTGCTATCTCACTAATGCAGGACTGAACCCTCTTGAAAATCTTTATAGTAAGGGTCAGGTACGTAACATTGTTTGAAAATGAGGAGAAAAATTCCATTGTTCAGAATGATGCACTGCAAACAATGATGATTTTAAAGTCATAAATGTGCTGGCACCATAAAGATTAGCATTCTCCTTTGTTCAGTGAGAAATTCAGTGAGATAAATATCATAACTTTTTGATACTATTCTCACTGACTCTCTTATTGAAAATGCTCCAATGAAAAAAAATTCAGGCGTTCAGGCCAATGAGATAACAGTTAAGTCCACTGAAAAGTCAGTGAGACATCGCTGTCTCACTGTGTGAACCAGGCTTTAAAGGCAATTTCAGGAATGTTTTCCTCCCTCCCTTTGAAGTTGTTGCTACATATTTCAGGCATAGGTCAAGACCAGTTCCATATATTTCACAAAACACTGTCTTTTTTTTAAAATTTTAGATATCCAGCCGCATTCTTCATGTAATTTTACTGAAAACTCGTCATGTGACACATCAGCTCATATGACTGTCATCATTGAAGTCTTTGTTAATGACCCTGTCATCATTGAAGTCTTTGTTAGTGACCCCTGACTAGCAAGCAGAAATAGGATCCTGTTTTCAAAAACTTCCTGTTCTTTTTATTCCTTGTTAAAAACAGCAAAAATTTACTTAAACTCTGAATATTAAGTAACTGGGGCTGTCAAAATACAGTATCTATTAAAATATGAAGAAGCTAGTCCTTACTAAGCAATCTGGGACTCAAGTAAGCACCTAGAACTTAAGTAGCCTAAACCAAAGATTCTTATAGTAGCCTAAACCAAAAATACTGTATGGCAGATTTTGACAAGAACTTACTATGCACCTACAGCCCTGCACCTCAGGTACAGGTGCACAAAAATCATCCGAAAATGCCACTGCTGGTACTATCACCTTTTTCAGTATATTATTTTGCTAGATCTAGTTTTTAAGTATGCCCTCAGTGCTACAATTACCATGGCCTGCATACTGGAAAATACCCATGAGTTTTGAAGGAAGTTTTTAAAAAAAATTCATATGAATCTTTGGAGCATGAGGATCTTAAGCTAAATCAATGGTAAACAAAAAATTATCTATCTATCTAATTATCTTGTACATTAACCTGCATTGAGGTATTATGTACACTAGTTAGTGTATTAGTAACGAAAAATAATTTTTTTGTAAACTAGTTTAACAAAAGATGAAAGTATTTTAGTAGCATGACCCCATCATGAAAGGTGGCTAATTTGGTTAGCTTGTTCGTTGGCCTTCAGTCTTAAACCAGCACAGTAAATTGAACAGAGGGGGCTATAGAGAGAATTTAGGGCTATTTACGTGTTTTTTGAGTGATGCCTCCATTTAGAATAGTATTTCAATACATCCTATACATTCTCCCCGGGATGCATACAACGTCATGGCACAAGTTGTTGCAAAAGTTTTTTTAAATTCTGGAGCAAACAGCTCGCCTATACCAAATTTTAAAGCCTAAAAATAACAATCCTCGCTAAAAATTAATCCTTTACTTACCTCTTCAGTTGTATCGACGATTAATTGTCTCATTTTTGAATGTGGCAATGTAAAAACATCGATTTCCGGGGTGATTCCAACTCGATCTACAACCGCAGCCATTTTCGAACCTTGTTTGACTGATTATGAAATCTGCCTCTTTGCTCATCACACATCACTGCGGAGGAGCAAGATGGTTGCCAATGACGGCCAATGACATCTTCTGACAAAATTCTCTCAGTCTCTTCTCGCAATATTTCCAAATGCAGAGATTTTTTACGTATTTGAATAACTCAGATGAAACTTTACGTTAATAAATGCCGATGCAAATAAACGAGTCAAAAGATTGGAAAAAGAATCGGCTACCGTTGAAAAGGTACACCCTCCCTCAGTACGAGGCAAGCACTCCGCAATTCCATAAACAAATATGGCGGACACGAAACGATGCGTGGCCTAGACTTGAAATGTGTTTATCTAATTAGAACTGTATAATAAGGATGCTTTGAAAGCCCGTAAAATGGAGAAGAGACTCCAAGAATACCGCAGACTTAAAGCCGAAAAGCTTGCTGAAAAGGGTGGGCCACATGCGGCAAGATCTAGACATTCAAACAGCCAAGCCACTAAAAGTGATAATTTGGAAAACGCACAAAAAGAAGAATTCAAAGCTGACGATGAAAATCAAAGCAGTGACGAGGAGAAAAAATTCCAGAAGAATCTGAAACATCTAAATTCAAAGCACAACGAACAACTATCATTTTGGGAAAGATACTATCTAGAAACTGTTTTGAAGTTTCTTTTCTGGGCATGTCTCTTCGGATTCTTTGTTCAAGTTGGGTTTGGTGCCGTCTATTTCATACTATCCTTGTTTTACTTAATGTATACTAGTATGACTTCAAAATCAAGAAGAGGGGTTCCAAGTGCTTACTCAGTCTTTAACAAAGACTGTGAGAGAATAGATGGAACATTTACAGCAGAACAGTTCGAAAGCCAGCTACGAACTGGAACTTTAAGATGATACGTATTTAATAATTTGATGTACTCTGCATGTAGGATAGGCGATGGATTATTTATTTTGTTTCTTTTAAAATGCTCGAATTTTTCTTGTGTACTGTTTGGTATAAATTGTTGCAAAGAATGGCAAAAAGCTTTATAAGCAAGATAGGAATCTTGAAATGAATCAAGTAGCCTTATTACAAATTTTATTTGGACATAAAGAGTATATGTTCTCCGAAAGCGGCTCAAAGTTTAAGAGTAAAGAGTGGATGGGATGCTCTTTATCGTAGGAGGTGTGGCCAGTAATAACAGGTAATTGATGAAGTTTGAAAACTCCTCAGAAAGGCAAGAATTTTTAGAGGTTTTTTTCACAAAACAAAAGTATCTTCGGGTAATGATGTGCGACAGTTTCGCAGAGTAAAAATATTACCAGATAATTAGATTTCGGTCGTTAGTATAGCAATAAATGAAAACAAAGATTGAAAAGGATAGCAAAGTATAGCGTTAGTATAGCAAAAAACCGACTTAATTTGAAAATCAGCTGTCGATGTGAGGTACCGGTGTTTCTAAAGGTAAAATGGCCCCACCGAGACACAGGGAAGACTGGGTGAGCACAACAAAAATAGAAGCAAATCTCGGGAAGTAGATGCGGCCAAGAAATTTTACATATATGACAAAAATCAAAAGAAACCGCGGGACTGATTCTGTCGGGATTTTTTGTAGTTCTGTAAAATTTGCCACCTAGTCCTGATGGAATAATAAGCTAACATATAAAAAAGAATCGTGAAAAGGAGCCCCGACACAGCTCGTGTTGTTTGCCAATGAGCAGTTGAGTACGCTTTGTAAATAAAATTTCAAGGTCGGGTAAATGAATTGAAAGGCCCCATTATCAGGACAGAGAGAAAGGAAACCCGCGGGAGGGCGCCAATTGACATAAACCCACTTGTTAGTTATTAATAACGTCGGCGTCTGATTCATTAGCTGACGGAATACATAAAATCTTGCGTTCGTGGTTTGAAACCAGTTCAATGTAACCGCGCGAAACAACGCAAAGAGAGTAACAACGGCGTTCAATTCTAACACAAGTTGATACGGGACAAAGAGCCCACAGATTTTGAAGTAAACATGATGAGATTGAAATTCAGTGTGGAAGATATTTTGCGAGCTGAAACCGTAACGAGCAAGATGGTTTCGCAAAAAAGTAAGTGGATATTTTGAAATTACAGTCGAATTGCAGTTTGCCTGTACAGCTATTTGTTCTGTATGAAAGCCATTTAAATGCAACGATGTAATTGAAATTTGATTTCATACAAGAATAACTTGCCTTTGAATTTTTAATAACACGCAAACAACGAATAACTTATTTGTTACAAGAAGAAATTGCGTTAAATGTTTAGCTGTTTGACTTACTAGTAAGCACTTAGAGTGATTTTCTAATTTCGTAATATCCTAAGTACCTAATTCGGTACATTTTTGCTGACAAAACTTTTCAACTGGTCTTCACTACAGGCTAAATGTTTTAACTCGTCTTTTTGTCGGTGTCAATGTAGCAAACATTTTTGTCGTTAATATTTGCAAATAATTCATTAAAAGGTGTTGATTTACAAGAAATTGAAACTTTTATCTCCCGAACTGAATTTTTACGCATTTCTCCGAGGTAGAAAATAGTTTATTTTAACTTTCCTTGGTAAGAAGTTTTAGGAAAGTGTTTGATATTTGACAAGAATACCTTTGATAGGCTTTGTCTAGAAATTGTGGTTTACCCACTATCGATAGGTGAATTCGGTCATGACTTTTCACAATGAAAACATTAGTCTATGTTTTGTTTATAAAGTGCCTATGACCAACAAGGCGTTTTTTCTGATATGTTGTTGCACATTTGATACAAAGTGCTGGCACTAAATGAACAGAATGTAATGCTGACTCGCTTTTGGAGAAATCACAGCCTCTTACTTTTCAGAAGGAAGTGGGCGATATGAGAAAGTTTGAATTTTTCTATGTATGCCTTCCCTTATCAGAATGAAACGTTAGCATAATTTGCAACGGGCACGTGCCATATTAGACTTTTAAGTTGTTCCAAGCGATAAAAGCAATTAACAACCATTGTCTTGGCAAAATTTGGAAGTACAGATAATTTTTTATATGAGTTTGATCCGCTAAGATTTCTTGTTTTTGTCGAACCAATTTTCTATTGGTTCAAATAATTACATTACAATATCATAAAATGGTTTTCTTTTGTGTGAAAGAGCTGCAGTGGAGGGAAGTACAAGGAGGGTCGGGCAAAACTTTTGAAAATGTTTCAATTTCCGTTCAAGTCTTGTAACCAGAAACAGGATTACACTAGGATCATTCTCTCCCTTCTAGACCAGGTCATCGTAATCAATGGCTTAACGAATTCCTTTCTTGACTCATTTACTATTGCAGCAGAATCTTGGCACACGCATTATATCCAAATCAAAAACAAAGATAATCTCTTTAATTAATAACGGAAAAGTCATTGATAACGGTAAATTTCATCCTTATCCCTTTAATCCTGATTTGCGGTGATGTCAAGCTTTTAATGAAGACGTCTCCAAACGCAACCGTCCTTTGTACTTTTAACATCCGTTAATTTCATTTCCCTTCCCAATTCTAATTTTGAGCCCGCAATTACTTAAATCAGGAATCCATAAATAGTAGGATTCCCACAGTTCCGACAATTGAATTTTTCCTTTTTGTTTTCTTTGCATAAGTTTTGTATACTTGTTAGAGGAAATGGGTATCAGAAGAACCTTTTAAGTTCAATCAAGCCGACGTTTGAATTTTCTGTATGTCCTATCAGTCTGTTTACAACGGAAAGCAGGGTATTATTAAGTTATCTTTGGGCTTGCGCAATCTATTCAAATTAAAACGATGTCATTTATCAATACATTGAAGGTTCTATCCAACTCACGACATTACATATGGGATACACAATACACGGTATAAAATACAAAAGAGGTACTTGAGATATGGAGAGTCGGAAATACTATCCTACTTATTTTTGTAATTTTTGTATTGAATCAAGCAAGTTCAATGATGGTACACTTGAGATTAAAGTACGAATCTGAAACAAGCAGAATAGAGTTATTATGAACTTATTAGATTCACAGTTACGCTAGAATTGTCGGGTGTAAGATGCCTTTGCGCTATATACTAATACCTGCTACTATTTTGTCATCAGGTGGCTCAATGGAGTGCTTGGACATGATGACGTCAGATGGCGAATCGCCTCGGTCCGAGTCCCCAGACTCGATAACATCAACTAATTCGGAAGGTACGGAAAGTAAAGGAGGACGAAGGATACGGACAATGATTCAAAGTTGGCAGAAGAATTGCTTGGAAACAGTTTTCGAAAACCAGCAGTATCCAACTGTGTATCAGTGCGAAGAGCTGAGTAAAAAGCTCGGACTGCCAAATTACGTAACCAAGGTGCGTACCGGAGTCCGGAAAATTTATCAACTAACGTACAGCTAACAATTAGTCATAAACGTAATAGCTCTACACAAAAAAGAAAGGTACTAAGGTTGAATAAGTCCCTTTTCTTTTCCATGATATCTGTACAATAATCTAATCGAATATCGCCATCTTGTTTAAGATCAATTGCTGTTTCGGCCTAAGAAGTATCAGAGATACTTAATGAAATAATATCACATATATTTGACTTAATTCAATTATGGAGTTTGAAATCTTGGTTGCATCCCATCTTATCCAAATTACAAGGGTTTTAAAGCAAAGGCGTTCATTTGAGATTTATTCACTTTGTTCCCGAACTCAGAAAGCTATTTTCGCTGCACTTGAAAACCAACTAAGATTGCAAAGTCTCAACTTTTCTAGGCCCTTTGGCAAGGACGGTTGAGTTGGAAGTAAGCTCATATTGTCTATTGAACTTTTATTGATTTCAAAATTCTTTGCAAATGAATAATGTAATCGAATTTTATTTAAAATACGCAAAAAACCACAGACAAAGCCTTTTGCTATGACGTCATTTTCTTTCTCTGAAAGTCGTAACTATCCTCCTCCACAACGCTTCCTTTCAGGTATGGTTTCAAAACAGAAGATCAAAGTTTCGAAAGGAGGGAAGTCGTAAGCAAGTCCGAAACAGCATTGATCCGTATCCGGTACGAGTTAAGAATGATTCCTTAATCACGAAGGAAGAAACACCTTTAATTCGAAACATTCCGGTTGAAAATGACAGAAAAAAATCGCAGAACAACGAACAATGGGTTGGGAAACAAAAGGAAGCATGTAATTGCCCTGAATGTATCAATACTCATGCGTCAATTGCCTTGAATGCGTCAAAAGTAGATGTTCCTGATCGACAAATCCCCGAATCAATGCCGAAGCTTGAGATTTGCAACTGTAGGGACTGTATCGCAAGGACTGTTGTTTATCGTCAGCAGCAACAACAACACTCAGAGCTCCAGAGCCAGTTTACTGGATTTAATGAGGAACAGCGGGAAATGGCAAGGGATGTTGATATGAAGACAGTTTTACGAGAGGAAAACGAAAGACAGAAAGAGCTTGAAAATATTCAGGAAAGGGATGCTTTATGTGGTTGCTCTCAATGTCATGCGGCCCTTCAGCGGGCAAAGAATGAAGAAATGTACTTCAAAACTACAGTTGCCAGATACCATTCATCTGAACAATATTACAGGCCTTCGAGAGAAACAATATTTCACGAGAGAAACTTTGAAGATAAATTCACAAAAACCCATGGTACTCTCCACTATGTGCCACCAAAATTGGATTTGATGTATGACAGGGTCCAAGCTGGACAATGTTTTTGCAAAGAATGTACTTCTAATTCATCACATTTCAAATAACGATGATGCTTAATTACCTATGAATGTAAATAGTCATGTGCTGTAAAAAATTACCCTTTTATATTCTCTTTTGCAACAAGAAAATAACGGCGACTTCTCTTTGTACGAAATCTCATATTCGCAATGAGTTTGTGCTTGTTTGTTAAGAAAGATGAGCTTCTTTTGTCGGCAATGCCATGAGTGGAAGTAATATATAAAAACTTTGGGGCGCGTGGGGCATCTGGGGGCGGTTGTGCCCTTACGACTCTCAACAAAAATGTACTGACATAAATCTCAGCAAGGAGAGAAAATCCTATTGAAAATCACGAACCATATGTTTCATTATTATTTCCTCTGTATGAAGATTTCGGTTCAGACCGCCATGTTTCAACTATCGGGGGATGTGAGACACCCGATACATTCCTATAACGAATGCTCAAAACAACTAGCTATAAATGAACTAGTTTCACATGGGCTTAGCATACAAAATTCGATTCATATGGCACGAAGACTGAAAAGAATGGTAGGAAATTTCACGTCCTTAAAGGCGCGATAAACATCTCATAGCTGATGGGAAACTCTGAGAACGCGAAGAACCTTTTTATTGAACCGTATTTGAAAAAAATGTGCTTCACTGAAGAAAATGCAAAATATTCTATGCTAATGAAAGTATTCTACACTACGCAGATGCAATTTGAAGCAGTCCTCAAACTTAAACAACTCCAAAGATTACAAAATATTTTACAATATTAAAAAACAACCAGATCATGCGATTGGCTGAACGTCAATAACCGTACTTTGCTTGATGTGATAGTTAAGACATTTAAAAATATGAAAAAACTAAGCCCTGTAAAAACTAAGCCCTGTAATATTAACCCTGCATTATGAAACCTGTAAACAGTAATATTAAAAGTTTTTTACTTAACTTTAACAATACTTCAAGTGTAATTATATTTTTTACATCAAATGTAATGCAATTATAGTGTTTCATTCTCGTGTATAAAAATATTCATTCACATCTTATCATAAGAAAAAAATGATTCTTCTTTATTAAAAAGCTGGTAAGGTCTTGAATTCTTCTACAATATCGGTAACTTTCATTCCTCTCCTCAGTTGTTAACAGCTAGACAACACATTTCGCTGTCTCTAGATCCCTCACGAATGAAGTCTCTAGATCCCTCACGCTCTTAAACAAGCACATCAAACAGTTTTGATTAGTCTCGCTTCTGAACACACACTTGCAGAAGAACTTGTCAGCAATATGCGTTGAAATGCAGGTGTGATATACTCAGCACCGGCCCACAAGCATCCAATTTGGCTCCTTTGTTTTTAGTCATTCAGTTGAAAACTTTTGCCACCTGTGAAAGATGGATGCGTGATTTTGATGACGTCAGTCGTGTCCCTGATGTGGTTTATCAAGCAGAGGGGGATAAACACCGATTGTTTGTCAATTTATTCGAAGAGCAAAATAGAAAATCATATAGAGAGGTCCGGTTGCCAAATTTCAATCAATCAAAAACACAATTTCAATTATCACGCAAATGTTTATGAATGCGGTATTATAATGAGGTCGGAAGGCAGAAGAGGAAGAAGGCTTCATTGGGGCTGCTCAAAAAAGACTTAAGTATGAATAGAGTAGTGGGACGTGCTCACCAATTCTTATTTCAAGATATTTAGAAATCAATCCCTCTTTGCCTTTCTCCTCTTCAACTGTCTACGATTTTAAAGCTGTGGAATATTTTCTTTCTAAAGTTCTAGAAAATCAAGTGTATTCAGAAATTAAGATAACATTACTCTGATTAATAATCGGTCTGCAACTGAACTATTCAAATTCCAAAATTGATAACATAATTGAAAAACAGCTTATTATGGAAGTATGCAAATATAGAAATACAGAAATGTGAGTGTTGTGATGTAATAAATGAATAGGAGCTTGGGTATGAGGCTTTGAAGTGTATCTATGCTGCGTGGCTCGCTGCTTGGAAATATGCAGTGAATTGAGAAGGTTTATGTATAAAAGATAATGAGCTGGGACAACAGAATTGGAATAAACGGTATAAAAAGTTGCGTCTTTAATGGAAAAGTATTCTTAAGGCCTAAATGTAGATATGTGTGTAAGATTCCAATGTGGCAATTTATGGCCGCTAAAACATTCATAAAAGTATACTCAAAGATTCTAAAATAAGAAAGAAAGAAATTAAGAAATAAAGTCTCTTAGACAATATATTCTGCAATCAACAGCAGCCCTTATTAATATTGCACAACATTTGTAAAATGTTAGAACCTCGCTCTAAAATTTGCTGTAGGTTCTCGAACGTTTGTGCATAATAACTGCCGAGCTTTGCTAAGCAAATTCTTTAATAATAAACGAAGGTTGAGTAAATTGATTTCAGCAAAGCGAAATATAGGCATGTTCGAAAATTCACCCTAAAGCTGAAAAGAGTTCTTAAAATGACGTCAAAAAATGACCAATTAATCTGAAAGAACACCATTGAATTTTTCTTAGAGTGCAAAATAAATAAATCAAATCTGTTGGATGTTGACTGAGATATAGCAACTGAAAGAGCTGGACATTGCTAAAGGATTACTGTTGTTTTGGCAAGGCCAAATTTGATGGGGAAAGAAGCTGTGCTCATGTGGTCATATTTCAGTCAATTCGGGATACAATGAATTGATTTTGCACAGTAGGAGATGTTTATTGATGGTTTTCAGATTATTTGGTTTATAGAAAAAAACCTAAAAATAGAAATATACATTGCGTCATCGCTTAAGAACTCTATAGTTTCTAGACGACCTACCACCCAGAAGGAGTTTAGAAAATTACTCTGTACACTGCTATACTTTCTATTCTGACATGCAACCTGCTGTGTTATCCAACGTTGACCAACTCCTAAGGAGTTTACATATAAATGCTTGAACATGGAAGATCTAATTAAACTCTCCCAATCGCGTGTTCTTTCTTTTAACAATTGGCAACGTTTTGCCCGAATAGAAGCTTGTCCACATTTTAGACAAGAGATTGAAAATTTTCTCTCGTTCATTAAACGACTGTGTTTGCAGGTTCCACACCAGCAGACCTTGTTCTTCCTGGAATCGCTCATCTGTATTGAGATCCGTCACGAGGCTAAAGTCTTGCTCCACACTCGATGTTTTGAACCTCTGATCATAACAAGATGGCTCTACACCAGCTCTGTTGAACACGATTGAGAAAGTGCCATTCACCAGATCCTGGAACTCAATACGTATAATCGCAGCAATGAGGCGAATATCAGCAGGTCTGTACTGCGGCGTCTGCGGAAGCTCCTTCGCAAACATAGGTAATGGATAATTGACGTAATCTTCTTTGAGCAAGCAAACGAAATTTTCACTGATAATGAATGTGCAAGGCAGTACCGTTTCTTCAGTTTCTGCGGAGACCAGCAGGTATAATAAGATACCAAAATTTCGATCAGAATGCCATTCACAGGAAAAACTTATAAAATCATAAATGTTTTCTTTCAATTTTTCCAGACTCTCATCGCTTGGGTATACGATCTTTACTTCGCTGTTGGGGTGTATAAATTCGCTTGCAGCTGCAATCGCCCCAGATTCTTCATCTTCCTTCTTATACAGCTTATAAATTTGGTTCTGAACAGTTTCTGTGCGATTAGCTCGCAGATGATCTTCCGGTTTCCCTGATAGCAGTGCTTCACTCAAACTCTTCATAAAACCATTTGTTTTATCGTAGTCTCGAGTTGTCAACGTGAATGTAGTATCTGGCGTGCCGCCTTCTAGCCGAATCAACTGGTCAAAAATCCCTACTACAACTTGCTGCAGCCGTTTAAAGTCGATACTCACAAGCCACAAAGGGACTCCCCCGGATCCGTCCAATATTGATTTCTTCGCACTGATAAGAGCATGGTCTTCTTCTGAAGAAATCAGGTAGATATTCGAACAGCTTATTATGATGACAACGGTGAACTCCTTCTCAGGGTGAAGATATGAGATGCATCCGCTGCACATAATGAATTGAATTCCTTTAGTAGCCTCGTCTTCAAACTGTGCAATGTGGTCCTTAAAGTAACTTCTTTGCCTTACTGGATTCAAGGCCATAAGCATGTCTGGGTATTCGATTGGCTTTGTGACGGGGATCGAAAGATTCCCGGATGGTACTCTGGTATGACCCTTTTTGCCGTTTCCTAACGAACCGGCCTCGGACACAACATCAAGATTTAACACTGGTTTTAAAAGTAATTTAGAGTGAGTGACGGATAGGTTCTGATCAAACTGATTCTTCCATAAACAGGACAATGAACGCACGAACTGATCACGTTCTGATAATGACCCAAAAATTACTTGCCATAAAGTCGTCGCATCCTGAAAATTGAATAACAAGAGTTGAATGACAAAGCCGATGAAAGTGCCGATGAAAGGTTATGGGAAAGAAAAATAATAGGAAAGGGATGGAAGATAAAGTATAGGGAGTAGGGGGGGGGAGGGTTGTTTTGTAGAATAGCTGGGCAAAGGATACAAGAAGAGTGGTGAAAGAATAAAAGAGGAAAAAGGGGGTGAAGAAATGCGGATGCGGAAGATGGGGTTCGGGTTAGAAATAAGGGAGGATGGAAAACAGGAAAAGTCAGGGAAACATGCAGGTAAGATGAAACCGGAATGTGGAACGGCAAAGAGAAGTGTAGTAAAGGGGGGGGGGTGGAAAAAAGTAGGGAGAAAAGATAAAGGTATTGAAGATTAAGGGAGACGAGGGAGGTTTGATTGAGAGAAATGAGAGTGAAAAAAGCAGGGGGAAGGGTGGAAAAAAGTAGGGAGAGATAATAAAGGTATTGAAGATTAAGGGAGACGAGGGAGGTGAGCAAAGGGAAAATTCAAGTCAATTTAAATCAAGATTAACATAATATAAATACCTCCTTGCTGAGACTTTCTGTATATTCAGTAACGGAATCATCGAATGTCAGGGTCATCCCATAATTCCCTGCGAGCATATATTTCCGATCGTTACTTTGCCATAAGTCAACACCAATCAATTCTGCAACCGGTTCTTCTTCATCGACAACCCACTCTGGGGTAGTTGGCAGGCTTCTCACGAAAGATGGCGGAGGCCAATGAACGTAGTCTTCATCACACATAAACAGCCGCAGATTGGTTAGAATAAGGCTTTTGATGCTGGACACAGGGATGTCAGTGGCGTAGAGAAACTCCTCTTGATCTTTGGCATCTTCAAACACGTAAACAATGCAGTACGATATTAGATTCTCGCGATCTTCTATTGGAGAAAAGCCTTGCGTGGTAAGCTGCGTTTTGAGCGCGTCAATCTTACTCTCATCAGGATAGGAAATACAAGATGTCATATCACCGGAGACGAATGATGTCCTACGTCTCATGTCAAGCGAGCTCTTCTCCTCGCCCAGTCCAATCACTGAGCAATATGCCTCGAGAAATTGCGCTGTTTTCGATGCATGGCGTGTGAGAAACGTGAATGTACCCCTTGATCCTTCGTTGTTCACCTCAATGCGAAAGGCTTGGTCGTACAGGCCGACAACTATCTCTTTGATTGACTTAAGAGAAAAACTGTAAAAGCAGTGGAAGATTTCCTTCATCTCTTTAACCGTTTTCGGAAGAGCACTTAGCGAAGTATCTTCCGGAAGAAACACACGGAACAGGAAGATATTAACATTAGTCATGATGAGGCACGTTGGCAGTTCTTCTTCTGGGAAAATGTAAGGTAAACAGCCAACCCAAAGAATCAAAACTACATCTTGGTTTGTGTCACTTGGTACCGAATGCTTTAAGAAAGGGGCGCCGATTCCAATATTTTGATACGCCATTGAACTAAAGCTGTCAGTCTTTTCAATCGCGCGCTCTCTAGGTTCTGTATCTCTTCTCACAGACATTGTTTTCTGCACGAATTCCTGGAAAAACCCGAGCAGAACTTCATTTCTAAGAAGAAATGGATTGTCCATTGGGGATACAACATGCTCCGGCTTGGTGTCTTCGTGTGTTTCATCAGTTGACCTAAACGGAGAGTAAGTCATGTGTTCTTGCAATCTGAAGCTATAAAATCTGAACTGAGAGTAACTAAATCAAGGGACCTTGAGCTATCATAAAATAAAATCTTGCAAGGGAAGGTAAGTAAGGAAAATATCGCACATGGCAAATCTATAATTTCTTTTATAAATTGTTCATTCTACAAGTAAATTATTACTCTTGTTAGTAATAACCTTTTAGATTGAAAGCTTAAAATGCCAGGGCCTTTGGGAAAACTTTCGATGCCTAATAGTGTTTAAGAATAGGCTTTGCAGTGCGTTTCTGATCTAGAAAACAATGAGAAGAAGCCTTACGTTGCTGATTGGATGCGTAACAATGGGTTTAAATGGCCAATCAAATGCGTCGGAACATAGGGCCTTTAAATAAAAAATCACCGAACAATCACTCAAGCTAAGAAATGATTAATTGATTAATCAGCAACTGCTTGCGTTCTTATAGGTCAATGAAACATCACAAATCACGGAGAGACCACTATTGCCAAACAACAATAGCTATTTAATTCAGAAATCACTGATCAATGTATATGATTGGTAAACACTCACGTGTTTTTGCTACCATTGTCTTCAGTGTATCCAATCAGAAGAGCAAACAGCCCGGCACAGTCTTTAACATCTTTAAATTTGAGCTCCTTCTCCAACCAAAGACCCTTTTCTAAACTATGCTCATCTTTTTCGTCGAAATACAGTAGGAATTTCCCACTTTTCTTTTCCACACGGATGTTTCGAATCTCATCTGTCAATTTTAAACAAAATTCTGATTTTAAAACAATATTCGTTTAACTAATTCAAAAACTCTAATACTCGATGTTATTTGGGTCCAAATAAGATGTGCTGCATCAAATTTCAGATGGATATGAATTCAACAGAACTCTTTGAACACAGGATCGATTCTTTTGTATTGGTTTTTACAAATACACCACCTGATGATCGCATTAAGCGTGCAACTGAGAGTTGCAAATTCGAACTGTCACATCAACAAAAGTTTTGGATATTTTCTTACCTACATGATACTGTCCAGTTTGCCTTCCAGACAATAAATCAATTTCCATCAAACACTTTTTGTCAGCATCAAAGGTAACAATATGCTCTTCATCCTCGCCAGAAATTTTATCTTCATAAAAAACCAGAAAGGTTTCATTGACCCTGGGTAAAAAAAAGAAAGCGTTCGAGATAAAAAAGTATTGTTGCTAAGTTAAACAGATAATACGCGATTAATACGCAGCAATATAGGAAGGGATGCAAATAGCTCAAAGATAAACAGGGGATAACGGTACCCTTCCCTAATCGTGCAGCATCATTATTATGCTGACCAAGCAGAACAAATTAATAGTCACGTGATACACAAACACAAACAGGTTGAAGTTATACATTTAAATTCACAGCAACGTATTCACAGAAGTCAAGCAAATATTTCCCGAATCATATCATAGAACTGCCAACTTTGTCCGATGTTTCATCCATACAGGGCAAGCAGAGATTCCATTTTTTCTTAGAAAACCGTATCGCTGTTACGTAAAAATACAAGATCTGTATTGAATAACAATACAAAAGCTGATGCTACTAATCATTTGTATTTTTCCCCTTGTTTCATTTGGTTAATTTCAAAAAGTATGATTTTGAAAGAATCAGTCAAACAAACAGCATTTTTCGAAAAGAATCATGAAATTTAATGAGATCATAAAATTTAAAGGTCCTAGCAGCATATTCAAAATGAACCTACAAATCAATGTTTTGATCGAGCATATCCTCCAGGGCGTTGATGACAGCTCCTGGAAGCTTCTCTTCGTACTTTTCTTCCCGTATGACGTCATACACAACCTACAATGTGACGAGGAAACTTCTTGTCAACCAGGGACATTCGCAATCAAGGTTCGAATCGGGACAAAACTCCAAGAAAAAGGGCAAACCAACAGCAAAATGAACAAAATCGCTAAATTTTTCAAGAAAAGTGGCAACCCCGCTGCTCCTGTGATGCAGGCGTCTTGGAGGCCAAATTCAATTTAAACTTTCACTAGAAACCAGACGAAAAATAGAGCTGTTTACGTTCAACGTGAAGTTTGGAACTTTAATGAGAAAGAGGGGATAAGCTACACACATAGTCCTAAAGATGGATACTTTAACGAATAAAAGAGGAACATTGGCAGAGAAATTGACAAGGAGACACCTATTACTTAACACTGTTAAGTTAACAGACTTATGGAAGTTAATAGACTACATGGTATAGGACCTGACTAAAGTTCTCGATCCTCTTTTGGATGATTACTAAAGGTGTAATTCTGTTAAGTTTAAAATTTTGATTTAAAAGAAGTCGGCGAGAGCAAGGCCATTTCTTTAAATATTCTACGATGCGAGCAGTATATTAAACATGATTAATAATATAAGAGCGAATACAATTTGTTTTTTCACCTTTCGGAAGGAAGATCGTTCGTCCGATGAATCTGGCACATCATTGTTTGATTGCAACTGCAAAGGCTTTACTTTATTGACCGGCTTAGAATTCTGGTCATCAGGTTTGGTTGAATTAAACTTTACCTCAGCCTTTTGCTCTGGTATTTTCCGCTGTGAAGGTGTAGCCTCCTTCTGGTTAGGATACAAAACGAAGCATTATTAAGATGGGGGAAAGAAAACATTAGTTGACAGATACAACGAGAGAGTGTGCAAATATGTTTGATACTGAGGAAAGTTAATATCATTCTGTCAATAATTACAGCTTGGGAAACTAATTATACCAAAGATAATACGTCAATAAAGCGAGAAATGTGACATTAAAAGTCCGCAAATCTTTAAAAAATGGTCTTACAATGTGAGAGAGAAGAATCTATTATTAACTGGTCATAGGAGATGTTGCAATTCATATCTAACTGTTGCTGTCTTAAATTAAAATCTGAGTCGTTACAACCAAAAAATTGTTGATAAAAACAGTAATGCTTTCATTGCTAATTCTTTTTTGCAAGATAACCATTTTCCCAAACTATTCGTGAAAAATTTTCAATGTATTCCTTAATAACCGAGCCTAACGTTAAATATGTAGCAAAATTATGAACCAAAACATTTTCTTTCCTTTCAAGAAAACAAAAGAACTTAACATTTCAATCAAATTAACAGTAGTACATCAAATTAGGCCCGGAAAATTGAAATTAGTAAATTTTTCGATATTTTAGTATTTATGAAATCGACGAAAAGCCCTAACCACTGAGCCATTTTTATACCTGAAATCTTTAGATTTTAAACATGCAACTACCTTTGTCCTTTGTTCTGTCTCCTCTATTTGCAACTCGTTATAGAAAGAAAGCCACGATTCGCCAGCTTTTGCTTTCAGCTTCTCGACCTGTTCACGAAACTTTACTTCTTCTTTTTCAGTGGAAGACAGCAGATCTACAACGTAAGCATATATAGTGCAAAGAAAGGTAGGAACCCAATAGCTGAGGACAGCGTTGGGGTTCACTGTTGGTAAATGAGACCCCATCAAATAACACAGAATACAATAATTGTTCTTGACATTCCCTTTCAATATCTTGATTGGTTTTAACTTTAGCAGGGACGGATTTACCGGGGAGGTCTACCCCCACCCCCACCCCCCGCCATATTTCTGTGTCCTTCGGTTAATTCGGCTTCAATTCGGCAAAAAGCAATTTTTTGTAGTCAGTACTACCGTCAACATGAAGCAAAGTATGAAATGATTCATAGAATTAATACGAAACACCAACCCCCCCCCCCCTTGGATGTATGCATAGACACTTCTAATGAAGGAATCAGCATGATACGGGGGAAAGGGGGAGAATTTAGCGATAACGTAGACAAAATACCTGACTTTCTTTGATTAGAAGCAGCCTCCTTGATTTCAGCAATATGATGTTTCTAGAATAAAGAAACAACAAAATAGAACACAAAACAAATTGAAATTAAAAATATGTAGCGTGTATTTGCAAATTTATTAGAGCAAAAAATCAATAAGATATTTAAAAAGAAAAACGTAGTTTATACCTTGGAACCCTTGTGTCTTGGCGATCGCGGAGGAGTGAGAGGCTGGACTGGGTCTGCGGCCCTAGACGAGGCTGTGATGCAAGGTCTGTAATAATTCTCAGGGCCAGTAATGAGCTCGTAACTGTTCTGCAGCTCAATGATTTCGCGAGCTTTCGTCTTGAGAAAATAAGTGGAAATCGATAAAGGAAAAAACAAAAAAGATCTTGCACTATGAATGTTAGGCAGAAGTTGTACAGGTATTAAGACTAGCGTAGATTAAACAGGCCTGGCCACAAGAATTTCAACAGGGTAGCAGTAAACAGCTCTTCTAGTCATATCCAGGTGAGCTATTTGAAGGTGAATAAGAATAGAAACAAAGGAAAATTTATTTCAAGGGGGGCAATCTAGGAGAGCAATCTGTAGCCCCTCTCTGGCTCTCTTCAAATGGCCAGGCCTGCATAAAACTAACGCCAAAATTACCAGGAACCCCAAGTAGCTTGATATCTTCGTTTTTTTCTAAATACTCTTCCAACTATTGTTCCACCTTCCTCGTAAGCAAACTCATACACTTCGCACGAAAGAATTTAGTTCATAAGACGTTTTCAGTATTTTGCAGTAAAGCAAAACTGTTTTGTTGGTTGATTTCAATGTTGAGCGGGGGTGGTTTAATTCGAATTTGCATATACACGTTAGCTTTCCAAGACTTTTTGCACTGATATTTATCTAAGCTTACCATAATAATAAGTATAATAGTATGAAAACATAATTTTGTATCTAATTTTAGTGTAGAGGTTTTAACAGGTCAGATGGAAGAACAGCTGCTCAAAAAAATAAAGGAAAAAACAAAGCGAAAGAAGAAAAATAAAGGCTAAAAAAGTTCTGAGGAAACATGACTAAAAAGAACAAAGATATCTCAAGATCATTTTATAAACAAGTATTTAACTTGAACGATTAACACAAAAGATTAAAAATAAGAAAACATTGGTTATAAACGGATGGAACCTTCGACTTGTCTGCAAAATGTTTTCATGACAGGTGTTGTCTATTTTGACCAATCAGAAACACTGATTGGCTCTTAGCATAAAACACGTGCCATAACAGGGTTGTCATGTGCTCACATTTGGTAGTGTTCGGTGCCCACTCTCTGTGATACCGCATAAGACCAGTCAGAGTCTAACCAAAATAGCTTGATCTAGCCTAACTGCTTATAATTGTGTGGAAAAAGCTCGGCTTATTGAATCCCCAGTGAACAATATATGAGATTGCGAGTGACGATAAGGGGTAAGTGCAAAATTATTTGTAAACTGCAGAATGGGATCAAAAAATCCAAGAATGATTTTTAGCTATAAAACACGAACCAGATCGGTTTTGCATGTTGGAATGCCATCAACTGTCACCTAGGAATGCAAGACAAACAAGGCCTGTAAATGGGCTGATTTTTATCTAGATAAAACTATTGAATGAACTGAAAAAATACTAAAAGATGTAACGATTGAGATATCACAGATGTATCTTAATGTGAACAATAAGGCATTCAAGTAAATCTTTTTGGCAGATGAGCCAAGAGGATAATGGTTTGATAAAAATTCTTGCAAACAACTGAGCATTCCAAAGCATGAAATTTATCAGACCTAGTGAAAAACAAATGCTGCCAATGTTGCTTGTGAATATCATTGCCTTTGCATTTTGTAAAATTTCTTTATTAATAAGCATTGTATCTATTTTTAATCAATCTTGTTTGTTTTACTATAGTCATAATGTTGTATTGAAGCAGATTAATTCTACTCGGCCATTATAACTAGCACTGATAAAAAAATATTAGTCCCTGTCCAATCGTTCCATTACATTAGGAACAGAGTACAACGAACCTGCTGGTCAAAAGTTCACGTTTGTATCAGTCAGCAAAGAAAGCAAAGCTTTAAGCACACTCAATTAAAATGAAACTCACTTGCTCATAACGATCTCCAAACTGGGCAATAAGACGCACGTTGTAGAACTGCTCTACAGTGCAAGGGTTTCCGTGGATGTCAATATTTTCGAGCAAGGGTAGATTGCCAAGCGGAAGTACGTTGGCTAGCTAAGTGATAAAAGACACAGCGTTCAAGGATCAAACTCTCGCAAAGCAATGCTATTTGTTTATAGGCTTCTTCTTCACAATCGTTAATTAATGGTACTTATTTGTCATGGTACTCTACAGTGCAAGGGTTTCCGTGGATGTCAATATTTTCGAGCAAGGGTAGATTGCCAAGCGGAAGTACGTTGGCTAGCTAAGTGATAAAAGACACAGCGTTCAAGGATCAAACTCTCGCAAAGCAATGCTATTTGTTTATAGGCTTCTTCTTCACAATCGTTAATTAATGGTACTTATTTGTCATGGTACTCTACAGTGCAAGGGTTTCCGTGGATGTCAATATTTTCGAGCAAGGGTAGATTGCCAAGCGGAAGTACGTTGGCTAGCTAAGTGATAAAAGACACAGCGTTCAAGGATCAAACTCTCGCAAAGCAATGCTATTTGTTTATAGGCTTCTTCTTCACAATCGTTAATTAATGGTACTTATTTGTCATGGTACTCTACAGTGCAAGGGTTTCCGTGGATGTCAATATTTTCGAGCAAGGGTAGATTGCCAAGCGGAAGTACGTTGGCTAGCTAAGTGATAAAAGACACAACATTTAAGGATCAAACTCTCGCAAAGCAATGCTATTTGTTTATAGGCTTCTTCTTCACAAATCGTTAAATACTGGTACTAATTTTTCATGGTACTCAGGTCACTGTTGCACAAGGATGTGATGCTTGAAACAGGTTTCGGACTAGGTACACGAGAGCACTCCAAAGAAGATTTCTTCATTTAGAGAAATTTTTGTATGAATCAAATAAGTCCTAACAAGAAATATATCTTGGGCCTAGTCAAAATTTCATTTTATGTTAGATCCAATTAATCCAACATACATTCACTTTAACAGGCAGAGATAAATATGATAATAAATTTTCAAAATCTTAGAAACACTAAACTAAAGTTGTTAAAATTAATTCAGGAAATTGATACAAATTTACCTTTTCAATTATATTGTCCGAAATTTTCAGGCTTTTCAAAGAGTACATTTTTTCCAGTCCTAAAAATCGATAAGATAATTTGTAATATTTACGTCAGAATGAAAATTGCTGTGAAATTAATTTAAAAATTATCTAGAAGATCAACAACTAGTATTTATGGTTGCAAGAAAAATTAAATCCAGTTCCAAAGGGCAAAGACATGCTAAATTCAAAATTTGTCCAAGATTTGTTGACAAAAGGTAACGAGTTAATTTTTTTTACTAAAAATACTAGCATTTGAGTCATTGGATTTGCAACTTCCTCGTTTTGCGCGGTTCCAGTTCACAACTTTGATTTACATAAGGACCACTGAAAACCATTACTTTAGCAGAGCCCATCCTACAGGCATTACAAAACTTTCACGATTACAAAAAGAAAATACTTTCCAATACCTTTGACGTCACGTAATCGATTGCCAGCCAAATTCAGGACCGATATGGCACCAAGTTTGTAAGGGAAATCCTCAACATCAGTGATTTCATTATAGGACAAATCCAAATCTCGAAGGTATAGAAAGCTCTGTTGGAATCAAGAAAGTTCTAAAATCAGAATTGAATCTCTTAAATAGATATTGGTGCTGCATTAGAAATCAGTGAGAATTAAAAATTAGTAAGATTGTTTTTTTGGTTTTTTGAATAATTTATACGCGGGTAATGAGCAAGGGGTGTAGTGCTAGGGAAGCTCAGGGGGGCTGAGCCCCCCTTGTTGATGCCGTACTTTTGTACTATTTGTACTTTTGCTATTGTTTTTCGCAGAGTTTTGCGCAAGAGCCCCTACACCCCTGGTAATGAGCACACCATGCCACCCTGCCCTCCAGCCTCCATCTGCCCTAAAGCGAACTACTTGCCCTTGGGGTAGGAGCGAGCCCTTGCTTCTAACATTGCCATCGCCCAATACTGTTTGTGGCTTGTAGGGCCACTAGATGCTTGGTTCTGTCGCTAGACCTAAAACTTAGTTGGTAAAAAGAGATCTAACGGTAATTCACATAATACAGGACCATGAGCTGGCTATTTCGATAAATCTACTTGGTTTAATAATATACCATCACCCTGATTAAATTTTTCTTCAATGAGTTCGATGAAAACATAGTCGATACAGATATATGCATGTGTTCTAAACATTTTTAATCGAAACGTCCTAAATTGTGCTATGTTTTAAGGAAGCTGCTGCACCGAAACTAGTTTCAATAGAATTTTTATCTTTGATTCAACAGTTTAGCTTTCTGTGCTTGAATTTCTACAATCGCTACTGTTCAACTTAAAGGCCCTAGATGAACCACAACAGACCATTTCATTTCTCAAATCCTGCTTTGCCGTTCAGTCCCTTCAGGGGCAAGTATCATCAACCTTTCAAGATTTTAACATGTCTTTACCTCAAGAAACTGCACATCTGTTAGCAGATTGTGGCTCAGATCAAGCTTCCGAATATTAGGCAGCAGTGTCTACAAAGATAAGGGAACTGATTAACAACCAGAGGGGATTCATCGTGCAAGCAGTAACTTAATACTTTTAACGTAGCATGATTTTTTAAATAATACCATGTAATCTTTAAGTAGGATGACAAAAATGGAAAGCAAAATACACCTTTCGCACAGTAAAAAACTAACGACACTCAATTAGAAGACGCAGCCATTGCCTTTTCTATCACAATTCTGAAGTCTTAAGATCTTAAACTCTTATTTTACATTAATACCATCTTCCTTTCTAGTTTAGTTTTAAGAAGAATCGCTGACCTTCACAGTTAGATAAGCTACCTAGTCGCTAGCCTACTCGTTATTATATAAAAATAAAAATTACATCAAGAAATTTCTTCTTTTTAGTTACTTTACTGTGATCTGATAATTGCCTTTTTATAGTAGAGACGTAAGCAGAATCCATGGCCTATCGGTAAAATAAATTGATTTCTGCTGATAACCCTAACCATACCTATCCCTAACCTAGCCCTAACCCTCTAACCCTAACCCTAACCCTAACCCTAACCCTAACCCAACCCTAACCCTAACCTTAAACCTAGCCCTAGCCCTAGCCCTAGCCCTAGCCCTAGCCCTAGCCCTAGCCCTAGCCCTAACCCTAACCCTAACCTTAGCCCTATAAGCAGAAACGCAACGTTAAACGAATATTGATTGCCAATTTCTACTGTACAATAACACATGCTTACAATCGTGTTATCTATTGATGTGAGCTGGTTGTTGGTGAATGCAGCTAGCACAATCTTGTTCCAAGATGGCAACTCCGATGAAAACTGCTGCTCGCCCTCCTGGTCTACTTTTGTCAAAACACCACAACTCCAACTGTTTGCTGTTATCAGTATATCCTGAAATCAAATGACCACACGAGCAATGTCAGAAATCCATTTTATAGCGATTCTAGAATACATTATTGCAGCGAAGATGACCACATGTGCCCGTATTTTGTGTCCTACACTCTTAATCGTGTGCTCCTAATTGCTTATTATTATTTGAATGCAAAGAAACATTAGTTGCTTGTAGGCATCTCTCATGAGGCTTTATCACATGATCATATATTCCTCAGCTGTGACTTGCTTTAAACTGATCTTTCACTAGCGGTAGACGCTGAGAATTCGCTAAGAAATAGTACTAAAACAAATAACGAAATTACCTTTATAAAATTGAGTGATCTGGCAACATTCAGCTCCCATAGCTGATGTTGTAGCACTTCCAAACCATTCAATAATTCCAGATCACAGCCGCAAAGCTAGACAGATACAAAAAATCTGAATGATAAACAGACTCTAGACTAAAATTAGAAGACGATTGGAAGCGCAGTTGATAAGAAAAAGGAGCACCAAAAGTTAGGAAAACCCAGTAAGAATTCAAATAGCAAGAAGCCTCAATGAGTGAGCTCTGCCACCCCCAACCCCCCCCCCCCTTCGAGAAAAGATGCCGTGCCTTGGCAAGCCCCCTTCCTCCTCCCAACAAAGAAATTACCAAGTGTCTCACATCAGTAATAGTGTTTTCTGTGATACGTAATCGAAATATTTTAATAAGTCTTATATATAACAAGGAAATCCGCTTTCACTGTCTTGGACTGCAATGGAATATTTTACGTCTACGAACAAGAACTTTTCAGACAGCTTCAAGCATTGTTCATTTTCCCTTTTGGCAACACTAGACATCCTGACACATCAACAGATTTGGTTATGTTTAAATTGTTTAAAGGCATCAACATAAAGTTTGATAAAGAGATGTACTCACTGTCAAGGTTTCCAATGACTTAAAGATCGAAACGTCAAATGTGAGGTCTCCCTCTGAGAAAAATGTATTGTCTTTGCTTGCGCCTTGAACCTGATGATAAAAGCAGACAATTTATGAGCTTGATACTTTCAAGCAAACTACAAGGGAACTTGGTTAAAATCCTAGACAGAGATGCTTTGCTAGCACAATACAGGGCTTTTTCAGAATACAGAGTAACAAACTGCCATAGAAGACTGTAACAGATGCAAAGATGTACAGTACAATTTCGAGAGTGTATAGGGAAAAGGATATTCTTGGTTGCAAACAAAGAGCTTTTTCTTCAAAAAGGATCAGTGCGTGAGATAGTGGATGGTGACAGCTGGCAACTCAGATTTACATATAAGAGCTATCGAAGGTAAAGCAGGATAGGACGACAACAGCTTTTCATGAAAAACAAACGAGGTTTTCTACTTTTATAAACAGAAAAAGCCTGAAGGTCAATGTAATATTTAAAGAATAAAAATAAGCCGTGTTTTATCGTTGCGAAGAAAAGAAGACGTGTAGGGAAAGAATTTTGCCAAGCAATAATTTTTCGTGTAGAGCAATGAACTGGAAATAAGCACAGTTAATTTTCGAATAAGACCCAATTGGCTTCTTATCAGAATGAGTTTCCGAATGCTTTACTCGAGGGGTACTTATTCGGAGGAAGGGGGACTTGTTAAGTTGTAGAGTATATTTATGAAACTGTTAGATTATTCAACAGCAAAAAGCAGAGATCAACTGAAAAATCCTTCCGTATGCAGGTAATCAATTTAATAAAACAATTTTCTATGACAACTTCATTCTATCAGGACGGTTAAGCATGATCAACATTCCCTTGAGCTGGAATAAATGGATCCTCAAGGAGGGGTCTGGATCGAGAGGGGTGCGGCCTAGAGGCTAAATGGGATTTAGAGGTTGGGGTTTATGAGTCTTAGATGCGAAGAATTTACAGAAGTGCTAAAGCTTCATATTTTGAATATTGGGAATAGCATCACATTCTTACCTTTATGTGTTTTGCTTGGCTAACAAAGGAATAAAGATGACCAATATCCTCCTTCGGATCATCTGAATCTAAAACCAAAATTGAAACAGCTCAATACAAATAATTCGACATGCAGCAGATAAAAAGGGCTCTGCGATATTCTGTGCTTGTGACAAATGCTCTATTTTTGTAAATCATTGATAACAACTTCAGCAAAACTATTGGCAAAAAATTTAAACCATTAAATTATGTTAAGACAAAGGGTGACCAAAAGTTCGATTGAATAGAAATGAAAGGATTATGGTTCTCAGTTTTCACTAGAGAGATCAAGCTCACGAGGTGGGATTTTGGAGGTATGTAAGGATGGGGTATGGGAGGGATGCATAGGAGCATGTGGTGGGTGTGTGATAGATGTGTGATGGGTATGTAGGGTGTGTGTGGGTTGTATGAGGGAAGTGTGAAAGTTGCATAGGGGTTCATTTGACTTTCTGCAAAAACATCCAAAGTAAATAGAAAAACTTGACTAGCTAACTCTTTCATACTATAAACATTCCAAATAGCACAATAAACAGAAGCAAAATGCATGGTACATAAATAAGGTGAGTTTGTAGCCATAAATGGGGGAAACCTTGGGATGGGTTTCATAATAAAGTTTGCCTGCATTATGCCATCAAGATTTATCACTCAGAATAACACTGAGAATAAACATTCAAGTATTTCTATCACCTTAAGAGGGGAAGCACAGCCAGTAAAGTTCCATAAAAAGGAAAGCATACTTACCACATGTAGGTAATGGTAAAAGCAGCCTTCTATTGATGCAATGAATTTGTAAAGGTGAAATTGTGAAAACTTCATCATTATCAATAATGCCATCCCCTGAAATGAATTTATATTAAATCATACCATTCCATTCCTTGCCATTTTTGATAAAACTAAAAAAGGCTATATTCAACTCAAATCAAATTAATTAACTTTATCATTGATAAATAGAAGTAGAAAAATATGGCCTATTACAATTCGAATATATGCATTGTGATAAGCAGGTTCAAAATTGTATCCCATTCTAACTACATACCATATGACCTCTAAGCTAAACATAAAACATGCTAATAATAACAGTCATAAATGACTAATATCTTTGCAGACTGAGACACATTGCTTTATAATAGCAAGCAATAAACAATTTGGGCAAAAATGAGACACACAGCTTAACAAAATGTTCTATATTTTCATTTATAGAAATGCAAGAGGGAATTGAAATCATAGAGGGTAACATGGTTCTTGTATTTAACACATTGACATACAAAAAAAAGACAAAAGTCATCTTAGAGCATATTAAAAACAAAGAATTACAATGCTATAAATTGTGCACAAAAAAGGGTCTTACTAGCTTTAAGCAGATGTAGTTTTAACTTACCAATCTCATACAAATCTTTTGCAAGCTTGTGACAAACAGAGTTGACATCCTAACCGAAAAATGTAACAAATAAAGAAAAATAGAGATACAAACAAATAAAAAAATTTAGCTTGGTGACTCCACAAAACTAGTGCCCTAGAATTAAGTGCAAATCCTATTTGCAAATATCAAACTTAAATGAATTTGTCTGTATCATTAGTCCTGTGTATGTCTGTATCACTTTTATTGGTTGCACTATATCTTCTTAAACAAACATAATGTGCTGTTCATATGGGGGTGCAAACCAGCTCATTTAACCTCAAAACCTTCCATTCCCTTTTATGTGTGCAATTTTATAATTTATCTATTCAAAAACAAACACAGGAATTTGCATCCATTCGGGTAACACAAAAAAGATTATTTAACATGCAAAAATGGCTTAGTGGTTAGGGTCGCCGACTATAGATCCAGGCTCTGTGGTTCCAGCCCCTGACATAACCAAATCTTCACCTAGAATGAGGAGAGTTGCCAGCTCTCTGCAATTCCAGGCATGGGAATCATGGGATGTGGTCACATTGGGAGAAAGGACCAGCACAGGTAATAATAGAATTCAATACAACATAGTGCACCCAAAGGATTCAATGTTACATGTTGGGTTTCTACCTTACACTTCTACAAGGTGGATAAAGGCAAGCATCATCAAAAATAACAACAGAGCTGGAAACTCCTTTGATTATTACTCAAAATGCTATTAGACGTTTAGTACCATGAAAAGAAAATGGGGCACATGCACAAATGACTCAAAAACAATAGAATAGACTGGCTATTCATATTCAAAATACAATTTCTTAAAGTATTTGCATTCAATAATACAAAAGATAACACTTACAAATCTGTCAAATTCCAAGAATTCTACCACCTCAGTGGGCATTTCAAACAAAACCCCCAAGATATTTTGCAAGTATTTATCCAAAGCAAGCCTTCTTTTTTCAATGTGCTCAGCATTGAGGTTGCCAATGAATTTCTTTGGTGGGAGCAAATCCCATGGAAGTCCATGAGAGACAACCAGCTAGAAATTGATAAAATAAGATGGTCTAGACTTGCAAACCAACAATATTAAAGGTTATCACAAATATTTAGACATTTGAATATTATTTAATTTATGATGCTGAAAAATTAGAAGTGGGGTTGCATGCGCCCCCTCCACACACACCCAAGACTCCCTTGATGTGCTTTAAATAATGTGGGCAGCATCAGGTTTTGACTGAATATTCTTGTTTCTCTTTTTTTAATTTCCTATTAATTTTCTTTGAATTATATTTTAACTTTATTTGTGTGTTATCTGGAAGGTACAATCACTCTTAAAAAACATATTTTATTTTTACTAATTATTTTGCTTCAAAGAAACTTAATCAATAATTCTGAAAAAATAATTTGGTTTGCAAAAATGTCATACACTTTTTCAAATAGTTATGCACCCTTCAAACATATTCACATTAGTATATATTATATCTAAAAGGCTATTAGGTCTTTATAAAAAATGTAAGATCAACATCTTAAGGATTGCACACCTGAACACTTCAAGGTGTGTGGTTCAAATATTGGTTGATACTAGGTTTTGTTCACAAATTGAAAGCTCAAAGACAGTAAATGATGTTTCCTTATCACTTAAAGTTACCAAAAGTCTAAAGAAATTGCCGCATTATACACCTTTTTCTATCTGTGATCCTCTTTCTGCTAGATGATGTGACATTTATGCAGATCTTGAGGCATTTTTCTGATTCCTATTTTGATCCGCAACTGGGTACATATTTTTCATCTTGTTCTTTCAGACCCTTTTTCTAATATTTTAAACTTTCAGGAGTGTCAGATCAAAAAGCTTATTGCACTTTGAAAGGATTGAGTGAGGAAAGAAAATATTTGGTGCTCAATCTTGCAAAGAAAAAGTATCCTGATTAAAAATTCTATCTACCTCTTCATGGAGTGCATAAAAATCTCTATATCTCTTCCTTACAATCCAGCTGCATTCTCCAAATGTGACTTTTATTTTGTAAACCTTTTAAAAACAATAAATAAAGAAAAATTTATTAACCAGGTTATCTAAATACAAAGCACAAGTGTTAATACAAAGCAATTCAAAGAACAAAGTGTTCAACAGTTTGGCCTCTTTTATAGCTTAATAGCCTGGCAACCAGAAAATGGATAGCCTATCCTGAAAGAGGGTCTTCCTATTTTGAAATTCTTTAATGAGCTGAAATTTGGAACAAATTATTATTTCCTCATGAAAAATTACTTGGACTGGAGAACATAAACAGGCCTGGCCATTTGAGAAGAGCCATTAACTCTTGCTCCTTTCTGGGCTTTTCTCGATTGCTGGAGTGGAGCTACAGATTGATTTTCTAAATTTCTCCGAAAAACAAATTGATCACCTTGAAATCTGTTGCCTTGTTTCTATTCATATTAATCTACAAACAGCTCATCTGGATATCATTAGGATAACTGTTTGCAGTTTCCTTGCTAAAAGTCTTATGGCCAGGCCTGCTTATATATAAGTGCTATCCTAGAGCAAATCCATTTTTTATCAGCCGTACACACTAGTTCGCCATTTTGCAGAGTATGGCCAATTTTGACAAGATATTGGGTGCATCAACAGCCGCTAGGTCTTGGTGCAAAAAAACCAGAAAAAAATTTCAGGTATATAAATGTTTCCAGATACAAAATTGATCACGTCTAGTTTTAGGTGTGCCATCAACAGTACCATGTTTGTCTAACGTGTTTGGTTTTCCTGTTGATTAATTTTATGTTTATTTCACCAGCATACCATTAAAACCAGACCCTAAGACCTAGGACCCTAAAGTAATAAAATCAAAAAGGACTTTTAGCACCAGAAGAGTCTTCACCCTGATAAGACAAAAGTTGATCACAGTTGACTGTCATCATCGCACCATGAGGACACATCAACTGTCAAAGGTGCTTTTGCGTCTACTCCAGCGTTTTTCCGCCTGTTATCCACATCAGCTGCCTTCAAATTAGTCCGTCACTGAGTCAGACAGCGACAAGGAAGTTTAGGGCAGCCTTTTGGGCTTCTTCTAGTTATCTCTTCTTGAGTTTGCATCCAAAATCTGAACGAAGTGGAAATGGGCCTTTAGAATGCTTGCCACAGAACTGTTGATATTTTCCTGCAAACTTTGCACAAAAATTTGCGACTGCCAACGGCACAGGGTAGAAAGAGGCCAAGCTGAGGGTTCTAAGGCAATTTTCTTTTTACATTTTTCATTACCATTGTTATTTGATCTTGATTAAATCTCTTGAGATGATTTTTCTCTGTAAAACCAAGAATAACAAATCGATAGCCAACTTCCCAGGGGGGCTGAGCCCTTAAAGCCCTGGAGCCCCCCCCCCTTAAGTCTGTGCCTATGATAAAAAATAATTAAAAAATAATTTATTGAATCTATTTTTATGCATTGAACTTTTGAAGCTGACCTCTGTTAGTAGATATTAGTTCCAGAATTTTTTTCGTCTATTTTTTCTAATTTTGAGTGGCATCTGGTTCATTTTTCATTATTGATTTCCTGAAAGTATAGCCAAAACAATACATTAGTTGCAACTTTTTTCATATTAGTCGATTAAAAATGCTTTATTGTGTAAAAGAAACCAAATTGTCTTATCAAAAAAATCAATCTTCTTATATGCAGGTATATACAGTATGCTCTTAGAAATGTCAAAATCTAAAATTGCACACCAAACCAAATTTACAACAGCGATTTTCTAGAAAACTTCTGTTTGCGAACCCCTTAATTCGCCAATAATGCCATTTTCTCAGAATAGGGAGGGCAGTATCCAAAAAAATCACGCAAAAGCGACAAGCAGCAACCAAAGAAAGTGTCTGCATTTTCATCTCTGACATATGCCTTGCTCTTGACTTTTGTGTGTCCCTTTTTGTGGGCGATTCCAAGAGGCTAAACGACTTTGAAATGTCTTCAAATTCCTTGCTGCTCTCTGACTCCATGATGGACTTATTTGAGGACAGCTGATGTGGATAATATGTGGAAGAATGCAGTAGTAGTTGGCACAAAACCACATTTGATAATAGGTCAATGATAGCACGAAGCTGATCATATTTCAATTGGAGGGCAAACAATGTTGAACTTGCCAAATCGCAATTCATGTGCACAGAGAAAACTAGAGAGCAACACACTCCCTGGAACATCAATTACCATTAAAGTATCCTTTATTTGCCGACAAGTTTGAAAGTTCACCAAAAAAACTCCTGGTTTTGAGATGAAACATTGTTCAAAATTACATTTTACAGTAGATCAGCATCAGCTTGTTCTTAATTTTTTCTCAACTTTTGAACAGTTTTGAGGTTCGTGTTCTTATAAAATCTTCGTATAAAAAAGAGTGTACTTTTCCAAAGTGCTAGCTACCTACAGATCATAGGTACATTATCATCTAGACATAAACAAAACACGGACATGGATTAGAAACATTACCCTGTCTGATTTACAACCTACTTACAGCATGATCTCGAGCTTTTTCAGTGCCAATTATAGAAACAGTCTTTACTCCAAGGCCGCGAATCTTTGCAGGATTCAGCAACTCCATGTCTAAGTCAAAATCTTGACGTTGAAAGAGGACATTTATCTGTTCAGTGTTCATGAAGATTACGTCGTGACAACCATAATCCTTTACTTTACGGTTTTATTGAAGCTGGAACAGCCTTGATTCTAGCCGAGCTACCTAATTCTACGCTTCTATGTTTCCTTCTGCTTGCAAAAGCTGTCCAAACTCTGCTTATACAAACTTTATTTCTCGCCATACGCATTTCTCCACCTTCAACAAGGTGCAATCAGAAGGGCATTGCAACACACGCTCCTCCGCACTACCAATTAATTACACTGCAATATTATCGTTGTCAGCATTTTGCCATAGGTGGTGGGGCTTATTTTGACTCTAGTCTCCTTGGTTGGAATTCGTTTGACCCCTTAGCAAAAAAGTTAAGTTTATTTTCGCCATTCGAGAAACTGCAATTCCAAGAAAGTGTTCAACAGCCGAGATTCTCAGTAAAAAGCGATAAGAGGGCCTTTTTGCTTGGAAATGGAGAGGGTTTACTTGCAATTTGATATGGAAATGTATACAAATGGGGGATTTCCTCTAACAAAAAATTGGATTCGCAGATTTCAATCTTTTATTTGTTCAGATGGCGGAATCACTTCGATTGCATGAAAACTTGTGCAACATCAAGAAAAGTTCTTACAGCTGCACAGACAGCGAAACAAAATAACACACTGATGCGAGATTGATACATTGCTCAGATCCTGGGGCAGATTTAAGGGGCAAGGAGGGGGTGTTAGGGACATCCTTCAGGTGACTGGGAAATTATGGAAACGCCTGTTTTATAAATTCAGCTTTGAATTTCAAGATAAAGGAAATTAAGAAAATAAACAACGTAAATTATTGCATTATTCTGTCACTACCGACCACCAAAAAAGCTTTTTACGGAAAAGAAGCAAAATTTACTGAAGAACATAACCTTTTAGGGTGGGGTGTTGCACACTTTACATACAGTACAACCCGCTGTAAATCCATCCCTGCGCGGATCTTTCCGTCTTATAAATCAGGCCTCGTTATTTTTTTACCATTGCAGTTTCAAATAAACGAAGCGGGGAATCCAAAAATTAGGCCAAAGTATGCACAGGTAGAAAATGATCGCAAAGGCAGTTCAAATTTGGAATATTGGTGAAACGTCTTCATGGATCAAAGTGGTGGTGGAAATCAGAAGCGAAGGGTCTTAAAAATCCGGAACAAAATAAACAGAGGGGGCGTCTATGCCCGACCTCAGGGATACTAGGAATAATTTTCAAATCATTATTATTACTGTTTCTGGCAGTGAGAAAAACTAAATATTTTGCATACTATTTTACAATTTCTGTAGCACCCGTCGAGCAAAAAGTTCAAACTGGACAAAGTTGGTTATTTTGAACTTTCTCATCTCTTTTGATTGACACTAATTATTCATAAAAAACAAGGGTCGACATCGTTTACTCCACTTTCTTAAAGTTGCAGCCAATTTCAAGTAATCTCCCATTAGATACTATGTTGAAGGATCGTTCAGACTTTTTACTTTAAATTTTACTTTTTACGAAGAATTTGATCTTTGTGAAAAATTTATTTTGATTGAATCCAAGTTTTATGAACAAAAGCCAACCAAATTTTTTGAAGCTAAGCTTTTTCTTAATTGTTTGATTCGAGTATGAAGTTTCTTGATCTTTCCTGAAAGTTAAAGTTTATGTACTACTCTCCATTTTGTCTGCAAGTTGATACAGTCCAGATTTGTGCGCTGCGATGGAGCTGCCCTCGTGAATCCAAGGGCGACAACAACAGCAACACAGCAACAAAATGAACAGTCAACAAACCCAGGTGTTCACGTTTTAACTGGGAAGTGATTAGTCTGAGTGCTATAATTATTTTATGATGATCTCGTGAAGTTATAGCATGTGTCGCAAGTTTTGCGTTCTATGAAGACGCGTATGAAGAATTCCATCGTTAGAGGAGAAGGTTTATTTTAAACTAATTTACAGAGAATCGCAAACGAAATTTGATCGATACGATATATTATATCATGTGTTATAGATGGAGAGAAGGACGTTATATGAAAGTTTTGCTGCTTTTAAGGTTGATTTGCTGGCTATGTTTTTAAAAACCATGTATAGTGCAAGTATTGGCAGCATGGTTTACGCCGAAGAAATTGCATGTGTACTGCGGTTGAGCTAGAGGTCAAAATTCAACTTGAAATGGAAATGAGGGCCACAGACCGGAGTGAAGAAACAATATCCAACGAAATGGAGGATGCGACGTCAGTTATAGCTACTCTAAAACACAAACCAGTTATTATGTCTTATGGCTTGTTGACAAAAGTGAAATATGAGCACAAATCGAAGAATTGTAAGATTCAAAGTGTCACTTACAACTCCAAGACTTGTGAGTATGTTATCGTTGATTCAAGAGGAATATCTGCGTGGAGTAACAGTTATAAGCTTGACAAGACATCAAGGCTATTAGAATTTCCAGCATACCAATTCAATGTGATCAAAATATTGCTTTACTGTCGACCTTTCAACCTTTATTTTGCATTGACAAGAGAATACCAACTGAAGATTTACAACCTAAATTTTCATGAAACATTTTCAATTGAATCAGATACAAAGGCTTTGATCCATATGATATTTAATGCAGACACAAATGAACTAGTAACAGCCAGCAGATCTGAAATTCAAATTTGGAAATTTGGGGAACTGAACCGACAAAATGACTCTACGAAGGCAAGTTATGGCTTGATACTGGAGAGAAAATGGACTATTGACAAAGGGAGGTTGATTAACAGGATAAATTTGGATAATGAATGCCAAAGATTGTATTGCTTATCTGAATCAGATATATGGTGCTATGATTTGACAGGGAGGTTTGTGTTTTTCATCAAAAAAGCATGCTCCACTCACTTATCAGCTTGTGCTTATGCAAACACAGTTCATTCAGTTATTGCTGGATCCATTGATGGTCAAATAAGCATTTTGACAAATTCAGGTGGAAAGATTCATTCCTTCTTGTCACACTCAAGCCTTATTACTGAGATTATGATCCATCCATCTGACGGGCATCTGGTCATTACCTCATCACTTGATGGTTATGTCAAGATATTCTCCTTAGATTTACTTGAGGAGCTTTACTCCTTGAAAGTTTTTAGTGAAGGCATTGAATACATGGCACTCAGATCAGAAAATCTTCTATTTTGCGTATCTACAAAGGAGATTGAAATTTTTGATCTCAATTACTTTTGCCAGTTCTGGGGGCAGTTGCAATACCAAGCACAAACTATTGAGTTAGTAAGAAATTCAAAAAAGAGCAATAGATTGATGGTAGTTGATTCAGACAGCAGTATGAAGTTGTTTTCAGTAAAACATGGAAAAAAATTGTGCACAGTATTACCACCACCAACTGTGGGGCAGTCAAATAACGTACTTGCCTGTGTTCATGACCGTGATTACAACCTTGTCTACTTCCTGGTTACTCCATCAGAAATATGGGTCTACACAACAAAAACTGACCCAGCATGTTTTTTAGCTCCAATTGATTTATGGGAAGAGCCTCAACATGAAAAGACTTCAAGAGAGCCAACGCTTACTCCTCAAGAGCCCATGGGTACTCCTTACTCAGGACCAGAAGATCAAAACTTTGCTGTCAAGATCAACTGTAACTGCATTGAAGTGCTACAAGACTTTTTTGAAACTGAATTTTTTAATGGTGATGGAGTGCTGCAAACAAAATGCAATTTCTTAGGCTGTGGTATGGAAAACGGAGATATATTGCTATGTAATCCATTAATGGGTGGCCGCAAAGAAAAAACCATTTCATTGTTTAAAGATCCTATAATTGGATTAAGGTATGTGAGGGAGCAGTGTTCCTGTTTGGTTATGACAAAAGGGAGCGAAAGCCTAATTCTAAAAATGATTAATTCAAACTTGGAGACATCTTTGTCTGTGTTCTGTGAAAATGATATTTCCTGTTATGCGCTAAAAGAAAATTCATTAGCAGTTGGATTTCTAACAGGACATATTTTGGTCAACGAATTGCCTGGCCATGATCAAAGAGCATTTGTTATGACAAAGTCGCTGTCAGTTGATCATTATCAAGGAGTACTTTCTGTAAGTTTCCATCCAGTTCTAAGCATAGTGTGCAGCTCCGGTAAAGATTCTTGTATTAAAATTTGGAGTCTTGACAAAAATCTTCTTTGTGAGATCAATGTAAACAACTCTTTAACAAGTGCTTGCTTTCTCAATAGCAGTGGGGAAATTCTTATGGGCTTTCATGGTCACATATTCATAATTAGAAATCAGAGACAACTAAGCTGGCTTTCTTGTAAAGAGGATGAGAATGAAGATCAGAGCAACTCAGGATCTGAGATTTATGAAAGCCCACACATTAAATATGAGCTTAAAAGACCACCAAGCCCTGTTAGTGACAACATGGAGAACTACCTTGTTCCCTACCAAGACACAATGTTTTCAACTATTGGCACCTGGGTTGTTGATAAAGGTAGTGATATGTTTTCATTCAGTGACAATGATAGCATTCTACTAAAAGACCAACAATCTGATGATGAATCCCTAGCACCTACTGAAATTTATCAAAGTAGTGTTTATTCAGCCAGTAGTCGAGGGACAGAATTATGGGGACTTCCAGCATGTGGTGACAGTCCGGAAGAAAGTGTTACTGAATCAGATGAAGATGTTCTACACCAAGAGACATTTGATGATGAAAAGGAGGAAAGAAAAGAAGAAAGCAAGAAACCCACTGAAACTAAATCAAGGCTGGAAGAATTACTTGCAAAGACTGAGCAGAAAAAAGATTCAGGTTCATTAAAAGGAAGGAAGTTTGCACATGGATCCTCAGAGAAATTAAAAAATGCCAAAATCGATTCGAAAAAGTTGAAAAGTAAACAAAAGCAAAAGGGGCCTAGTTCTTTGAAGGATATAACAGTCACTGATCAATCAAAAAACGACTTACCAAAAGAAAACGAGTTAGCATTAAAAAGTGGAAAGCGACAAATTGTTAAGAAGGTTAAAAAGACAGCAGAATCTCGTACAAGAGTTTCAGCAAAGAAAACTGTAATTCAACAGGCTGCTGATAATGTCTCATCAGCGGAGCTGAGCAATACCTTAGATTCCAAAATGGCTCAACAAGATAGAAACGAGCTTGTTGATGGAGGATACTCGAGTCCTGCGTTCGATAACGATACACAAGAGTCAGAAAAACATGTTAAGCTGACAGATGAATATGGAGTATCGGTAGTGAAAAACCAGATTAGGCTGGCAACCAGTGCAAAGAAAGTGGATTCTGTTTACAAAAACAGCGCTGAGAAGACATTGAAAAGTCCTGATACTGTAGATCAAGTTAACAAAGGTCTTAGAGGTAATCATACTCAAGAAAATGTTGATGAAAAGGTTGATGTTCACGAAAGACCTGGAGTTTCAAGTGCCCAGTTTGATTCACTGTGTTCAAGCCCAATTTCTGTGTATACGCATGAAAACGTGGAAAGCCCACTTCAAACAGAGAATACTTTTTCAAGTAGCCCGCTGAAAGTCGAAGAGAGTTTGGCAGACAGTCCATTCCAAATTGGCTTTAAAGACAGCCCAGCCTCTTTTGGTGACAAATCTGTTGACCGTCTGTTACAAGCTGACATTGAAAATTCTTCTGCACCAGAGGAGGAATCCAAGGGTGTCAAAACTCGAAATAGAAAGTCAGTATTTGGTAGCAACATGCAATACATATCTAATATAAGCAAAGAATCTTCCAATTTGTCAAGTGGGACAGGTCGTACGCAACTCAGAGGCAAAAAGCACAAAACTGAACCAAAAAGACCACCTAAAGATTTTGTTAAAACTAGAGTGGTTCCAGCCTATGAACCAAGAAGTTGGACCGAAAGTAATGCAAAGAAAGCTCTAGCCGCACATGTCCCACTTGAAATGCGAAGCGAAAAAGTGACACTTCGGGAAAGTAGCGAACGAAACCAGAGGCCAGCTATTGCAAGTGGTACAAGAAGAGCGAGAAGGAGGCAAGAAAAAGTGCCTGTACTGAAAAGAAGGAGTTCCCAGGCCGTCAGAGTCCCAGTTGGTGACTTTATTGGAACCGAGAGGTTTCTTTCATCTTCATCCATAGAACTGAGGAATGATTCTCCCATGATAAACGTCCAAGTGGAAGAAAATGCTGAAGAACAGACAGCCGATGTTTTGAAATTTTGCGTCTCGGCTTTGAAGAAGAAAAACAGAAACATCAGAAGAACTTCAACATCTGCAAGAGCAAATTCGGCGGGTGTAAAGTTTACTGACGCAGCCATGGATGGGGGTGCAGATCAAGAGATGATGGCGAAAGATACTCGACCAAATACGGCTTTTTATGATCAAGAAAGTTACGTGAATACTTTTAAAAACGCACAAGAGGACTTCGATGATGCACAAATCGAAGCAGTGAATCATACGAATATGGTTAATGATCAGTTCTTTAACAAATCCGTGGATAGCCTGAGATCTGAAGAGATAACAACAGAGGACCACTTGGAAGACCAAGCAGTGAGCCATGATGGAGACGAATTCAGTTTCAGAGTAACTATAAGCCGTGGTAATAATCTTCGAAAAGAGGGGAACGACTGGAGAGAAGAAAGGGGAACACGTGGATATGATGAAGAATTTGCGTCTAAAAGCTTGAACATGTTTGGAAATCAAATGATTAAAAGGGGTTATGAAAAGGGGGATGGAGGGACAGGCGATCAAGAGAGCAGAGGATTTGATCCGTTTCAGTATGTCAGTGTTGGAAGGGAGAGAGCAAGTCACGCGTACCATCAAGAGTCATATGAACCCAGGACAACAAGAACGCAACATGACATACCTATCAGCATTTACAAGAAAGTACGCTCATCTTTATTCAAAAGGAGTCAAGAAAACATCCACGACACTGCAGGCACCGCCATTAGAAAAAAAGTGGATGAATTCATGTCTCGTGAAACAACGGAATTATTTATGCTGAATGAGAGAACTGTGTCATTTTACGATGAAGTCGAAACAGTGAAAGGCAGTCCTGCAGCTATTCGTTCTAAGGATTATAATAACTGGGTATCCAATGCTCCTATTGCACCAGTGGCTTCTAATAGAAGACTGAAACAGTCCTATAGCAATCCAATAACCCATGATAGTGATGCTTCCAAACAAGGCTTGATATTTGTAAGCCTGCCCACGACCAGCGATGAGAGGAACTACGTTGCAGATGACGAAGAAAAAGCTTTCTACATTCTAAATTCAGCCGATCAGGGGCGAAAGACAGAAACACCAGCCAAAGCGCAGTCAATACGAGTTGCTAGCCCGCAAGACAAGCTGTTAGAACGGAGAGCGTTTTCAGCACGTTTGAGAAGACGCCACGAGAGCGCGAAGTTTCGAAGAGATGTGATTGAGAGACAGAAGCGTGCAAGAGCTGGAAACAGGAGCGCCAGTCCAACTTATAGTCGTGATTACCCCGCAGAGTTTTTCGCAGACGACGAGAAAGAGGCCAGAAGCCCGTGTATGTACGAATACAGCAAGCCACTACCTTTGCCTGATAAACCGAAAACGAATCCAAACGGTAAGTTATATTTGAACTTATTCTTTCAATACATTTTTAGTATATATTCAACAGATCAAAGCCATTGACCTCACAAAAAGACTGTATGGAATAACCTATTGTTCTCTTTGATCAGCACGAGGAAGCGATTGAATCTCTCCATCTTTAGACCTCTCGTGTCTAAAGCTTTGGGCTGGCAATTGTTAAAATGGTGCACACACAGTGCTGCGCTTTAAATTGTAAATCAATCATTAAATTCTTAAATATTCTAAGAGACAACAGGCCTAGGAAAATAAGTGAACAATGGATTATCCGTCGCATAAGCTTAATACCACGACAAAAATGTTTAGCGTCACTTACGAATGCTGCAAGTTTTTGTTTCAACGGTTACTTTGAATTTTGCTATGAAAAAGCAAGTTGAACTGAAACCAATATGATTGCACTCTAGTCTCATACAACACAGCGAGGTCTCAAGATGGACGCTGCAATGTGAATTCAACGCTGGGCTGGAGAAGATCGATTCAGTCTTTTTTTAGATCAGTGATCAAAGCCCCCTTCAAACAAGGACCAAGCACGACACTAAAAAATTGAAAACAAACCTCTTATTGGTCATAGTCTAAAATGTTGGCCGAAAAAATTTCAAGTTATACTTTTAGATTTGTGTAACTTTCTGAGCAAATATGAAATTTTCTTTTCAATTTATTCAGTGCAGGTTTTCCAAATCCCGTGAATTTTCCATTCAAAGTTTAACTTTATATGCGAAAAACCAACAAAGCATTTTCTTTCATCTTGCTTCTTATTTGATAAACTCGAAACTAGTAATTCGCTATTTGCATTTCTTAGATCACTCTTACATTGTAAAAAAAGACAATTCATTGTAATATTGCACGATTCTTGATAAATGAATTATATTTTTTGGAAAACGATGTCAAAAAATTCATATAATAGGAGTCAGAACGGATCAAAAGTAGATGAAACTGTGGAGAAAAAGAATAATGTTATTCATTTTAAAACAATATTTTTTTTACAGCTTAAAAAGCCAAGGTCACAAAACCTATCTACTTAGCTATTTCAAGCAGTGTCATTTCTCTGATCAGTCGGTGTAATTAAAACACTTTATCACTCAGAGTTTATTTTAAGGAATTTTTAACACGCACATATTTAGAATATTTGAAAATTTGGGTGTCACCTTTTAAAAATTTTCATGATTACACCCACCAAACTAACTGGATTATGAAAAATCTCGATAGGTTTTGGATACGGAACAAATTTCAAAGAGAATTTATAGATTATGATCACTGCTACTGTTAGGTTCTCGTTTTTGATATTGTAATGCTCTTTTATTAGCTTTATGTGTCTGCTGGCAGTTGCTTCAATTTTGCTTTTTCAATGCCAAATCTCTAAATTTTAGCTTTATCGCTGCACAAAATTTGAGTTTATCATTGCACAATAACGATTTATCACTGCACAAATTGGTTATCATTGCACGTTAAAACAAACCCTGTTATCACTCATGAAAGACGAATGAACCGCGAGACACAGGACCCCCCCCCCCTCTCTCATCACTTTTTCAGAGACAGAGGTAAAGTGCCTATTTGCAGGGCACAAAAGTGCCCTTTTCGCCTGGCTGAGCCCACCCCCAACTTTTGTAATGCTTCCTAAACCATTGTTATCCACTGAAGTTTTCTAAATGATACCTTTTTGTTGCAGGGAACAAACCGAAGGCTCTCAGAGCACGTCTCTCAGGGCAGTCATTCCGCTATGGCAAACCAGTTGCAAATGACGAGAACGAAGCCGTTATTGTCGACTTTATTCGTTCGTCTTTAAGCAAAACAGGCGATGGGGTAAACTTGCTACCAAGGCCGAAGTCTACACCGTCGATTCCAGCAAAGTGTCATAAGTACATTCTCGTGACAGAGACAACAAAACAAGAACAGAAGCTATCCAAACGCGAGGAAGAGCTGCTTCGAAAGAGATTTAGTGAGTTTTCCTTAGAGGTGTCTTAAGGCTCTTTAGATATACAGTTATTGGCATAAAATGCTTGATAAAGTGTCCTTCCACCAATAGTGTAGCATTAATGCTAAAATCAAATAACTTATACAACTAGACGTCTAGGTATGTTTTATCACCAAAAACAGTAATATATAAGAGGAGAGAGTGTTGAATAGTTGAATCAGATCAGTTGTGAATCTTCAAGTAAATTTAAGATGTAAGATATTTTGCGAGGGATTTCCCAAAGCCTCAAAGTTAGCAATTTATGTTGAACAAAGGGGATGTATTGGAATTGCTTCAGCTGGCACCTTCCTTTTAAAACAAGACCACCAGTTTAAAATACGCCTTTTGTAGAGAATCTTGAAAATAAGCTCAATGGGCTTAGTATTCTTAAAGAAATAGTGAGTGCTGGATTTAGAATACTGGCCTATTTACTGAATTGTTCACTCTCATAGACAAATATTTAATGCTTTCAATAATAATCAGTGCTTGTAAAATTTACCTCGCAAAGGATACTGTCGTGACTTTTTTAAGCCTCGTTGATTCTACTTTTTATTGTTCCTCCAGACGATATCTAACACTATCAGCCCGCCGTGAGCAATGTTTGGAAATCAAAACTAGAAAGCCCATTATGAAACAGATAGACATCTTCCTAAAACGTGTTTAATTATTTTAATCTCCGTTTCCACTTCCCTGTGCTATCTGTAAACTATTTAAAGCGGAGATAATTCATTTTATAAACCAAGCTTTCTGGGAAATAATAAAATGATAAAAAATTTGTTACAAAAAACAATTATTACAAATGAATTCTGCATGAAAGAAAGCTAGTGAGAGGTTCAGTCTCTATGGGCATTCAATTCTCCTAAAATTTTGGTAAAAATTTTTGAATATCACAAATACAACACTAACTGGATAAAATTTTTATCAAAGTGTTGTCGTAATTATTCAATATCTTTAAACTGTATATTTGCTGAAACATTGCCAAACGCTGGAACAATTTATTCAAAGAGATTCACTACCCCATTTCACTGTCACCATTCAAGCCCATTTCACTATCACCATTCAAAGCTTAACCATCCTCGTTTAGAGTTTTTTAATCTTCGTTTTATGTCAGGAAATCATTCAATGCTTAGCATTAGCCGTGTTTGATTAGTTGCTTTAACATAAATTATTCACAAATAGTTTAATAAAGTATTTTCTGACAGTATGGTTGTTTAAGTTGTAGATATTGAAGTTTCTGTTTTCATGTTGTTTTTTACTGTTTTGCAACAAAAGTATTAATGGTTGTTTTGTATGAATTTTCTGCACTGCAAAATCTATCAGGCTTGTAATTAAACAAAACATGTAAAGCTTTAAAATCTTTTTTATGATAACAAATCTAAAACATTGTCATAAGGTGCTACCTTGTCTAGCAAAATATTTAGATATGATTTCATTAGCCAAATACATTCTTCAAGTGTTCTTGAGAACATTGGAGGCATTTCAAAGTGGAGAGGCACAGGTTTCTTACTTGTGTTCTTTTATTAGTTGTACATTTCAAGCATTATGTCTTTTTAAAATAGCTTGCCTAAAAACTAGATGGGTGTATCACAGATTATTAGAAACCATAGAGCTATGCTAAGTTTTTCAAATAATTCACCGCTAGCAGGGCCAGTCATTCACTAAAAAGAAAGTGTTTGTTCACCATTGTCTACACATAAAATGATGTGATATGTTTGCATAGGTTTAGTATCCACCTACTGTCAGATGTGTAAATTTTCACACTATTTTTAGCTATTCAATGATGAGTTAATTTTTTAAAAAATTCTATAATAGTTATGCAAGCAAGTTTAGACACTAAATTCAGAAACAGGAAAGCTTTCCAGCAGAAAAATGAATTTCCATATTAAAATACAAAATTCTAATGAAGAAATCCAAGTCTCACCTAGAAATTAGAGCCAACAACAATATTTGCATTGCCATACATACCCATTTAAATTAAAAAATCGTAATTTGCTTTGTTGAAAAACAAAAATTTGCCAAATTCCAGGTACTACTTTGCAAAATCTTAAGCTACAAATATTATTAGGGTAATACTTCAATATTTATCAAGAAGGGGTAACCTTCTAGAAAATGCACTGCAAGAAGATTTGCTACTTTAGAGTAATGGAAAGTTCAACAGAAAAATACAGGAATAAGTAATATATATTGAAAAACAGCAACAAAAATAATTTGCTAAACTACTTACTTAGCAAGTAACTTTCAGTGTTATTAATGCCACAGAAGGTAAATAGCTTTTGGTTCATTTGTTCAAGTATGAATAACAAAATGGTTTTTCTTTATAGGACAAGCATCAATGCAATTTACTTTGATTTTTCAAGATTGTGTGATGCCATCTGATTTTGTTGACATTATGCCACGAAGGGCTTCATATAACAGCTACTAACTTTTTACTTTGTGTATTGCCATACTGATCTTTTCTTGCTTTTTTATAAGTAGGTTTCTGAAAAAAGGTATAAAATTAATCTAAGAAATATCTACCAATTACTGCAAGGAAGAGAGACCTAGAGGAAAGTGCAGGTTTAGACAGGAAAATATCTTGCTTAAGATGGAATACATGACATCTAATTCAAGAAGCAAAACTGTTTAAAGAAATCCTGGGTAACACTTATTATGATAATAAAATTTAATGAACAAAGCAACCAGAATGACCATCAAAGTTAACCAGGGCCCCTCATAAACATCAGTGTAGCAAAATGAATTCATAACAGAAATGTACTGAGCAAGTCTAGCTAAACCATTAACACAGTTTAATATAAAAACTGCTTTCTTTAATGATAACATTAAAAGCAGGCAAAAATGTAATGAATAACTTACCCAGTTTCGCCTTCAAGAGTAACAATTGGATTTGGGTCATCATCAGGGTATATAGCTGATGCCTCTTGTATTAAGGACGCTATAGGACCAGAACTATTTTTGTTGGCATTTCCTTTAACTGCAACAAAACATAAATGTTTATCAATGTCTTAATCAAAATTTATTGGTATGTTATGTTAAAGACAAACAACAAAAAGACAAAAAAAACAAAACAAGTTTCATCTCTATTTGCAAGTTTCTCGGTTTGTTTTTTCATGCAAAATAGTGTTTGTGCTCGAGCTATAACAAGAAGTCTAATTAAATTTAGGCATGTGGGTCAAACTTGGAACATTAACTGCCTGACTATAGACTTTATTCATTAAAGTTCTTGGTAAGAAGAAATACATACTTAAAAAACTGAAATTACCAACATAAAAAAATCCCCTTAACTGAACAACCAACTCCTAAAAACTTATTTATATGCTGGAAATTGCTTGAATTTACAATGATAGGCCTGGAAATCAATGTTTATAATTAGACAAAACAAACAACCACAAAAAACATTTAGTTGCAGGAATCAACAACAGTCTGAAACAATTTAGAATATGAGATCAAGCTTCTTTTGCGCCAATGAAGGTCAAGCTACTTCCAAAATGTTTCAAACAAGCAGAATTCGGGAGGCTGAAGGCATCTTCCAATAGCCCAATGAGGCTGTTGTTCTTTCTATTGTTCTTTGGCTCTTACAGCTGCTGTTCTTTGGCGCCTTATTACATCTTTCAACACAACAAATATGCTAATTATTAGATGTCTAGTCCTCCCCTTTGTTTGCTAATGGATCTTAATGGAACAAATTGTTTAGTAATTTTGAAATGATTATCATCAAGATTCATAAGAGATTATCCAAATATGTTGTCTTTCTCTGGCATCATTGAATTTGTTTACATTGAAGGTTCTTCACCAACCTGCATGCTTAACGGAAGTTCTCTTGAGAAATTGACTATGTTTTGTATTTTCATGCAGTACAATATTAGGCTGGTCTTTTGAATTATAGTCCCAAAGCATACCGGTTGGGAAAAAGCCTTTAAATAAGATTTCTTAACTTGGATGTGACAGGGTAATCACTAGACTGTATGTTAGTCTGCAGAGTATGATGTTTATGACCAGATTCGAAGATGTTGGGCTGAAGATCTCCAGCATTGAATATTCCTGCAAGCCCACATATTGGAGTAAGGCTGAGCCAATTTTGATTTCTTTGGCATAATTACACACTTCTTTATCAACAAATTTAAAGGTCTTGGCACAAAGCGCCTTTGTTTACTGGCAAACCTCCGAGACTGCAAAGTATTTTTTGTGCACATAGAATGCTTGCCCAGGAGCAAACCATGTTGGAAAATAACAGACCAAAATAACCCATAGTCTTAATTTAAAAAAAAGCATGGATTGGATCAGAATAAATAATCTCAGAGCCCATACTTTGTCATCTGGCAAACTACTAGCCTGGATGAAACATGGAATCCCTGGCTTCTTGAAGAGATCATTTCAGTCCTGTTCAGGCACTGTGCAGCCATTGAGCTAGCAGGGCCTATAGCCCCTCCACTTTTTTGCGATAATACGCTAGAAAACTTTTTGGAAAGTTTTCTCTGACTATGGTCTAACGCAACATTGAATAGTATACTCCTAAGAAGTAGCAGTTTAAGAAGTGAGGTTTCATTATCCCCAATTCAATCTTATCTATTTTTATAACTATTGATATCTTCTCTGAACCAGATTGTTTATAAAACTCCAGTAGAAATAAGCCAGTACTTTCTACAAGAGGCGTTTTCTGGCACTCTAGAGGGCCTGGCCTCAAAAAATTTTGGTCACGCCCTTTTCAGCCCTCCCACTTTTAGACTGGTGCACGGTCCCTGGTCCTGCTAGCAGTATGCAAACCTCATTTTACCAACAATGTTTTATTAATAGAGCAATGCATAAATCTATGTGCCATCTCATACTTTGGTGAACAGCAATCTACTGAACACACGCATCCATTTTTATACCCTGCAGAAAAGATTTTTTGAATGTCATAAAAATCATAGATGTACCTGCAATTGGCAATCCTTGGTTGTCAATGCAAAGAACTCCTGTGACACCAGGTTCCTCCATTCTGAAATCAACAAACAATTTACAGTTCAATCTTGCTGGCCATTGCCAAAACTTCAATTTCCAAAACATGACACTTCAGAGTCATTAGATCAAATGCATTTTATAAATTTAGCATAAACATATAATGGATGTAAATCTTTTAGATATATTTAATACTAAAGTAGAATTAAAGGATATCTGTCAAAGAATAACTAATAACAAATTCTGTCAAAAAATAACTAATAAAACAGAAGTAGCCTTTTGAAAAATCTCAGGCAGGCACTAGGGCTGACTATGCTGGGTACCACTATCATAAGTTCTTGATTTGGCCCAAAGGGTTTGCAAATATGCATATTTCTCATGGAGATGAAAGCTCTTTGGCATGAAAACTGCTAATTAAAAAAATGTTGACTTAAGGGAGGCTTATATGAAGGGGAGCCATATTGCTGGCTTCTTTGGTTCTCTGAACATTACCCTTGCCCCCCAAAGGCCCATAGAAACCTCGAAATGCTACTTGCATGTATCTTTTAACAAGATTTGCTTGCTTCTAGTTATTTCGCCCAAAATTCTCGTCAAGATTAGCCCCGTCCCTCTCCCGTCCCTAATAACTGCTCTGGCATTCCAAAGAGCAATTCACTTCCAAGTAAACTTCTGAAGCACCCAAAATAACTCGGCTAGCGGCCAAGGGAAGTCAATCTAAACATTATTTGTTCCGCTATTTAGCGTACGACATTCGATTAGACATTCAGTTAGACATTCGATTAGACATTCGGACTAAAATGGCTCGGTATAAGAAATCTGTGCTAGAGGGTTAAAAACAATGTTAATAACATTAAAGTATACCTTCGTAAGTGTATTATCGTATGCTTCGTTTTTGTTGTTACGTCTTGTAGAAGCTGAACTGAGCATCATAGTGTTGAATTTGGACTTAGGCCATGCGTTAGACATTCGCCGTCGGGAAAAAAATTATTTTTACGCAATAACTTTCTCGTTCTTAGGAAGATTTTCCCGAATGCTTGCAACGTAACTTTTCCAATCCCAGTATACATGTTAACAGGGGATTCGGTAAAATTGTGATCTTCCTTGAAAAATTTCTATTTCGTTTCCCATACTGAAGCCTTACAACTGGAAAACTGAATCCGTATTTACGCAATAACTTTGTCGTTTCTGTATGAACTTTACAGAAACTTTATAAAACATCTTTAATGAACATACCCTTGACGTTAACGGATGTTTCGGGAACTTTTTACGACTTTTGAGAAAATTTTTTTTTCATTTTCCATACTGAAGCCTTATAAAGTGGTCAGTTTGGGGGACGTTTACGCAATAACTTTTGCAAATCTGATTTGAATCGTCTGAAACCTCACCAAAGGTCTTCATTTAACCCAAAGTTGTTGTTAACGGGGGTCTCAGCAAATAATTTCACGTTTTGAGAAAAATAATTTTTCAATTTCCATACTGAAGCCTTATAAAGTGGTCAGTTTGGGGGACGTTTACGCAATAACTTTTGCAAATCTGATTTGAATCGTCTGAAACTTCACCAAAGGTCTTCATTTAACCCAAAGTTGTTGTTAACGGGGGTCTCAGCAAATAATTTCACGTTTTGAGAAAAATAATTTTTCAATTTCCATACTGAAGCCTTATAAAGTGGTCAGTTTGGGGGACGTTTACGCAATAACTTTTGCAAATCTGATTTGAATCGTCTGAAACTTCACCAAAGGTCTTCATTTAACCCAAAGTTGTTGTTAACGGGGGTCTCAGCAAATAATTTCACGTTTTGAGAAAAATAATTTTTCAATTTCCATACTGAAGCCTTATAAAGTGGTCAGTTTGGGGGACGTTTACGCAATAACTTTTGCAAATCTGATTTGAATCGTCTGAAACTTCACCAAAGGTCTTCATTTAACCCAAAGTTGTTGTTAACGGGGGTCTCAGCAAATAATTTCACGTTTTGAGAAAAATAATTTTTCAATTTCCATACTGAAGCCTTATAAAGTGGTCAGTTTGGGGGACGTTTACGCAATAACTTT